GTATGTTGCATAAATAAGATTAAAACTGCTTTATTGGTATTAATGCACAAGCACTGTTGACTTTTCTGAGGATATTCACTGTGGAGAATTTTTAATGCTTTGGTAATTTTCATAAGTGGAGCATTTTTATAAGGGTTTGTCCATTAGGAAAAAGGCACCGATTGATGAGTTTATTAATTCCTCAATGTAATAATTCATATAAAGTCAGCTCTATAGATGATGACAGCTATGAAATGCGCAGGACACGACTTGAAGAGGAACTCAGATTCCTGACTAATGACAGATGGAGAGTTTTCATATTAAATAATAACATTTTCTTATAAACCAGAAGAACAAATGTTTTCATTGACTCATAATTGCCCATATATTTACTTTTTAAAATGAAGACTTTAAAAATAAATTGCAGTGCTTTAGTCATTCCTAGGTAGTGATCTAATTAAGGCAAGTGTACAAATAGGTCTTGACCAAGTGGTCTGGCTGGTTTTCTTTCTAGGACCAGTAAGCAAGGATGGTGTGGACATGGTGGAGACCACAAAGCCGGTGCTGAGAATCGGGGCCTTCACACCTTCGCCTGACGATGTTCGTGAAGAGGACAGGTTTGAGACCAGCACCTTTTCACAGCAACACATGCCGCTTTATCACAGACGTGTGTGTTTCTCTGGCACGTGATGTCAATAAGTGTCTGATTTATGTGCGAAAAATGTTTTTCTGTCTGTTTCTGTGGTCTTCAAGTAATGGGGTTGTGAACCTCTGCCTTAGCCAGAAAAATGATGAAATCAGAAAAAAAATATTGCATGCACATATAAACCCAGATGAGCTTAAAGGGTTATTAATTGCAGGGAAATGAGCACAAAACACCATATATCAATTGGTAATGAAAATGTAAGGGGAAATTGAAAACTGAAGGTAGCAGCTAGCATACTGACTACCCATAATGCCCAAGCTGTCATCCCAAAAGCTAAAAGTTAAATCCCTGTTCGATATAGAATATCAAATACATATTTTCTTTCCATGTGTCAGTTCAACATTTTACTCAGTCTCTTAGAAAACTGGTGGATTTCATTCTTTTCCACTGGCAAAAAGTTCTAAAGGTTCTAGGAAACCTTCATAAAATATGTCATAAAAAAGACATTAATTTTATTTCACAGGTGCCTGCAGAAAAGGCCTGGAAGAGGTACAAGTCTTTATTAGAGGTCCAGTGTGTGTTTCCACGGTGATAGCAGGAAACTTCACATTAAAGCTTGATTAAAGGGGTCAGTCGTGTTTTCCATGCTTGGCGGTTAAAATGGCAAAAGTAACAATGGTAACCAGGTGAAAGGAAATCTGGGACACAGCTAATTCTATTTTAGGGGCTCTTTTAGGTACAGTATTTATTGGGGTTATACCCTAACTCATATGTAAAAGGCTCTGATCTCATGGTGACAGAGGAACAGCCCCAAACTGGACACTGGTTGCGGTTTCGAACCATCCATGCATTTCTGAACTTCCAGGGTAATGGTGAGCCTGGGACCTATTCCAGGAGGCAAAGGGAATGGGGCAGGGGATTCCCTGGACATCATGCCAGTCCATCACACACGATGGACAAATTAGAGGCTTCTACAGTCGTGACCAAAAGCTTTGAGAATGACATATAGAAATATATTAGAGAATGAAGTATTGGATTGCAAGTTTGCTTCAGTGTTTGTAGATCTTTTTGTCAGATGTTTCTATGGTATACTGAAGTATAATTACAAGCATTTCAGTATCAAAGGCTTCTATTGACAATTACATTAAGTTTATGCAAAGAGTCAATATTTGCAGTGTTGGCCCTTCTTTTTTAAGACAATTTGCCCAGGCATGCTGTCAATCACCTTCTGGGCCAAATCTCAACTGATGGCAGTCCATTCTTGCTTAATCAATGTTTGGAGTTTGTCATAATTTGTGGGTTTTTGTTTGTCCATCCACCTCTTGAAGATTGACCACAAGTTCTCAATGGGATGAAGGTCTTGGGAGTTTCCTGGCCATGGACCCAAAATGTTGATGTTTTGTTCCCCGAGCCACTTAGATAATTATCACTTTTGCCTTATGGCACATTGCTCCATCATGCTGGATAAGGCATTGTTCATCACCAAACTGTTCTTAGATGATTGGGAGAAGTTGCTCTCAGAGGATGTTTTGATACCATTCTTTATTCATGGCTGTGTTCTTAGGCAATATTGTGAGTGAGCCCACACCCTTGGCTGTGAAGCAACCCCACACATGAATGGTCTCAGGATGCCTTACTGTTGGCGTGACACAGGACTGATGGTAGTGCTCACCTTTTCTTCTCTAGGCAATCGATTTTTTGGATGCCCCACACAATCAGAAAGGGGATTCATCAGAGAATATGACTTTACCCCAGTCCTCAGCAATCCAATCCCTGTACCTTTTGCAGAATATCAGTCTGTCCCTGATGTTTTTCTTGGAGAGATATGGCTTCTTTGCTGCCCTTCTTGACACCAAGTCATCCTCCAAAAGTCTTCACACTCACACCTGCCTGCTGCCATTCCTGAGCAAGCTCTGCACTGGTAGTGCCCTGATCCCGCAGCTGAATCACCTTTACGAGATGGTCCTGGCACTTGCTGGACTTTCTTGAGTGCCCTGAAGCCTTCTTCACAACAATTGAACCTCTCTCCTTGATGTTGTTGATCCGATAAATGGTTGATTTAGATGCAATCTTACTACCAGCAATATCCTTGCCTGTAAAGCCCTTTTTGTGCAAAATAATGATGACTGCACATGTTTCCTTACAGGTAACCATAGTTAACAATGGAAAAACAATGTTTTCAAGCACCACCCTCCTTTTAATGCATCCAGTCTGCTATTCTAACTCAATCACGATGACAGAGTGATCTCCACCATTGTCCTTGTCAACACTCTCACTTTTGGTAACGAGAGTCAGCAGGTCCTTTTGTGGCAGGGCTGAAATCCAGTGGAAATGGGTTTTTTGGAATGAATTAAGTCAATTTTCATGGCAAAGATGGACTTTGCAATTGTTTGCAATTCATCTGATCACGCTTCATAACATTCTGGAGTATATGCATAAAAACTGAGGCAGAAGACTTTGTGGAAATTAATATTTTTGTCATTCTCAAAACTTTTGGCCACGGCCATATGCACATCTTTTTGGACTTTTTGCACAACGCAGGAAAAATACACAGACTCCACACTTACTGAGCTGGGGTGCAAGTGTACAACCCAGTCAGTCACAGGTGTAGTGTATACCCATGTGAATGAAAAGGAAGATCAGTGTAGCTGGCAGAATATTCCAGGTTCCTCATTTCAGCGGGCATTTTAGTTTTTTCGTTGTCTGAGAAATTAATACCCATTACTGGCCCAGTACACTGGAGCATACAAGTTGATTTTGCTGAGTCCTTTTCATTCCTACTTGGTTTGAAGCTTCATACTTCCCTAGCAGAGCAACCAGCAGCTCCAGTGTCACGTTCCGGGGTCAGAATGCATGTCGTCTGTGCTAACAGCTAATCCCTGTTATGGCCTCCCCAGGGCCTCGTACAGAGCAGGGAACTGCGTTTGGATAGGCAGCTCTGACGCCCTATACCTGATCAACTTGGCAACGTCTGAACTGTGCTCAACGCTGAATCTGAAAGGTAATCTTCAAGTGAAATTATTAAGTGCACATATGCGCACAATTTTTAATGTGTGTTTACGTGGAAACTGTTTGGTTTCACATAGTAACACGGGCAAATTACATATTATCGTATTATTGTATATATTCCATATCCATCCATCCATTCATCAATTCTTATTTCTTCCAACCACTTACTCCATAGAGGATTGAGGAGGGAGTCTGGAGTCCAGAATAGGCAGGTAGTGGAACATCCTGGAGGGCATAGCTCTGAATGTTGATCAATTTTCTGTGAATTTGTTAGACATTATTTAGCAGAACCCCATCAGTGTGTGTCTGGGCATATGCCATCGTGTGTAGGCCCACTATGTTTTGGTTGCGTCTTCCAGTTCAGGAGTCCAGGGATCGCTGCACGATTCACCTCACTTCAGTTGTCTTGTCATTACTCTTTCCTGTTATTCTTATTCTTGCTCCCTGAATTGTAAGGGGGTCTTACCATCCACCCCCACTTTATGAACCCACTGGAACCCTTGGAGTGGATGGGACAGGCAGTGTTTCCTGAAGGGCAGAGAAAGTAGCTCAGAAAGATGGGCAGCAGCAAAGTTTTAGACAGAGGCACAAATGCAGATGATGCGGATTTCAGGGCCTGAATGTGAATGGAAAGAATTTGCTGTGAGTGTCTCTCTATGCATGTGAGACCTTGTACTTTGTGTAGGGCTGTTTGGAAACTAGTGGGTCAGCCGCAGCACGCAAAATGTCTAAAATCCATCGAGAATGAGGCAGACTCTGCATGTGGTGAGCCTCCAGGAACTGAATCTTGTGCTGTAATATTCCACGACATCAGCACTTTGCCAAGGCATTTTAGTATCACAGCGTCAAAAGTAATCAATACTTGAAACCAAGCAAATAAATTTCATGTTGCTTAGCTACGCCTAGTTATGTTATCTGCAGGGTGTGGGTGTTTTTTTTTGTTTTTTTAAAGCTTTAAAATTCCTATTTACTAGCTTAGGCGGGTTTAGGGGATGCAGGTTAGGAGTCACACTTTTGAACTGAACTTTTAGCCTAATGGTCTTGCTGCCAGAGGATCTAGCATAAACAATCAAAACCTAATTCATATTAAACGATACACATAGGTTTTCTTGCACAATGAAGCAAACCAGCTATGCAAGTTCCCAAGGAGTGGATGGCACTGCACGGTGCTAGTGTAACTATTAGTGTGGCTCTTAGCATAGCAGTTAGCTACACGCCAGCAGTTGTCCAACTTTCTCAACCCAAGTTCAAAGGGAGCACTCTAAAGCTCTTCCCTCAAATTCAGATGCACATCTGAACCCTCAACACCAAACCATTCCATGATGTGAATGTGCCCAGAGGAACATTCTCTTCTTGTTTACCCATTAAAAGCTGGAACTGAAAAAGACTAGTAATATGAGCTGTTTGGTTTGATATTTGTTTATAGCTGCCATTCTTGCCTGGTCCTGGTTAAGCTGTGGTTAGGCCATGGCAGCATTGAGAAGGCTGTATGGAAAGAAGGATCATTTTATTGCTGTTGGTTAACCCGATTGTTGTTGGTTGTCGTGATTCCTGTGGTTTGGGGCATCATGCTGTCAAGCATCTTAAACCCGATTCCCATTTTTCATATGTAAACACCCACAAGACTAGACAGGGGTGGTCTACTAGTACCTTTATGAACTAAATGGTAAGTAGTATAACCTGTATTAGTAAGTTTTTATTTACTTTTTATTTAATAATTGATTTTTGATTCCCAAAACAACTGGTGGCACAATTAAGTCATTTTTCCAAGAATGCCATTGGGGGTTGAAATTAAACCAATCAACCAGCACGGCCTGGCTCTCAAACTGGGTTACCTGTAAATTTTATTGGCAGTGATGAAACAAGTGGCCAGGACACCGGTTGATTTCAGAGACAGGAACAGGTCTGGCTAATGCTCCCTTTTACCTGTTTGACTTGAGTCCTGTGTTGTCTTTTGTCTCCTTAGGCGCCCAAACAGTGACTGTCTCAGCAATTGGGTCATGGGCCATCTTCCATGGAGACGAGAACAGAGTAAGTATTCTGCTTCCCTCACAGGCATACACTTCCTGTTCTTCCCACATACTGAAACTTTGTATTCAAGATGGACATCCACATTTACCCAGTAGTATCTGCTAGATATCAATAATAATAATAATATATTTAGTAGCTTCCTTCTGTTCTTTTTACTTTCACTTGTTTAAGCATATGCTGTCAGGGTCAGCGCCCATCCATCCCTGCTCTTATGTCACTTCCCCGCTTGGCCATTAGGTGTTGCTGGCCATCCTGTTCCCTCCTGTCTTTGTACTAGACCCTTGTGTGTTTCCCCTACTCCCTGGACTGCCGCATAGCTCAATGGGCTAAGTGCGCAGCAGCAAGGCTTTAACTCAGTTGTTATGGGTTTGAGGCCAGCCTCACCTATTTTGATTGTTTATTAGTTTTCTGGTGTTCATTAGTCCTTTGCTTCCCTGTTTTCCTGGTTTAATTCTGTTTTGCTTGTGTTTGCATTCCTAGTCCTTCCTAGTGTTAGTCCTCAGTGTTTGTCTATGCTCCCTAGTTCCTGTCTTTGTCATTTATTCCATCTGTTTTCTTGTGCCATAATTGACTAATTCATTGGATTGTCCTTACCTGTCCCTCGTTGCCCCTATTTCTGTTTAGCCACACCTGCCCCTTGTTAGTCATTGTGTTCAGTGTATTAAGTACCTGCCTTTGTCCTGTTCTTTAGTTATTCATTGTTTATTCATGTTGCTGTGTGTTTGACTCTGTTTGTTTTATAATCCTACTCCTTGTGTTACCCTGTTTCCTTGTTATGTTACTTTAGATACTTAGTTAGTTCTTGTTTTCCTTCTTTACTTTTTGACCCCTCATGGTCCTTCTATTTTGTGCTTTTCTCAGCATGTTCTGTTTTTTTTTTATTTATAAACCCCATTTGTCTTTGAGCTGCCAGTGGATCATCACCTTTTTCCCACCTCTGCTGTGCTCTGCGAGAATATGCATTCTGTCTGATTTTCCAGGATGTTAGTGAAAAGTCTGCACCATTTAACGGCAGTCAATTTATGTTAATGTTTGTACAGCTGAATCTCTATTCTAAGGCTAAAATTTTAAATATATTCTTGCTGATAAGCCCTCCTTCCATTCACATATGCTGTACCTTCAGTATTTTTATAATGCAGCAATTAGCAGTTTATGGTTCAGTAACGGCAGTAGGTGTAAAGGTTTTTAAGGACTTGGGCTGTGCTTTGCACCATGAAGAAAAGTGGGTTTTCTAGTTTTGACTGGGAGGCTGTTTTGTGCCTCTGCACAGTGTGAGGACTGAGTCCAGACTACCGAACTTGCTCCCATTATTGAAATAACATTCAAATTCGAAGACATATGGCTCAAGCAAAGAACATCACCCAGTTGCCTCAGTCCAGCTGTCCAAGTCACACACCTCAGTTTACTCCATCACACCTCTCTGACCTGGTGAGGCTTCATGTTGCCCCTGTTCACTCTCCGCTCTTTCCCATCTCATTTTTCAAGGCCAGCCATGAATTTCAAATTAGGTGTTCCTTTGACACCAGGCTGTGTCGTCCCCCCCCCCCCTCCCCAGGATTATACTTACCCTGGGTTCATTTTCACTCTGGTGGTGCTGCCATATTATTCATTTCCTTTTCGGGGGCTGTTTCAGCATTCGATTTATTTAGTAAGCCTATCGTCAAGATTGTCCAGTGTAATGTATTGTCTTGTTGTCGATGCTGGTTTGTCTCTGTGCCTATTTCCAGTTTGAGCTGTAGCTGAGCTGGGTTTCTGAAATGGGGGGTGTTCTTATGGGCAAAACTGTCCTGCAACGCACAGGTCAGCTTGTTTGCATAGAATTCAATACATATATATATGTATGTGTGTGATATATATTTAGCCCATGTTATAGAAACAAGCGGCCGCATGCCGTGCTGCCGCAGAGGAAAACTGACTCTTCTGCGGTTCAGTCTTTCTCTTTTCCCTGTGGGTTTTTATTTTTTAATGGCTTACTGTTAAAATCCATAAACGGGGAACTCGCTGACACTCTGACCCAAGAAAGTGCTACTACCTACACTAACCCTGCAATGTGAAGTGAAGGCATTTTTTTTTTTTACTAATGACTTTTGTTTGTAAGGCTTGTATCAACGGGGACCATAGACGCCGTAATCTGTCTTCATTGGTTTTTGTAGGGGATGGTTCAGATCTCCCCAGACAATATTATTGTGGTTCTCTAAATATCCTGCATGCATGAAACCTCATCAAAATAGCCTTGCTGTACCTTCTTTCCCTCCCCAACTAGAGCCACCGCCACCCATATCACTCTTCTCCTTCTCGTGGCTCCATTTTAAGTCTCGTTTTTTTTTCATGTGTCTTCATACGCCAAGTCAGAACGCCAGGACCCAGCTGCTCAAACTTTGTTTATTAACATAGGCATGTAGTGTTACTTTCTTCAAATAGAACGGTATGTGACTCTGCAGGTTAGGACTCTCTGCCTCTGATCAGAAGGTCGCTGGCTTTAATCCCATGGCTGGCAGAGAGCTGTCACCCTTCAGCAAGACCCTTAACCTCAATCGCTCCAAAGAGACTGGCTGGCCCCTGTTCTCTGATCCTGTACTTTCCTCATACATCACTTTGGACACAGGCATCTGCAGAATAACCCTGATAGCGTTTTGTTGTTATAAAAGCTGTGTATGCATACTACTCAATAGTAGAATGGGAATTCAACGTATGAATTTCAATGTCGCCCTTTTAATGTCTGTTTTTTTTTGTTTCAATACAGATGTTTCTCCTCGTCAGAAATGGCTACACTGTTTGTAGCTGTTTATACAGCTGTGTGTTCAAAGATTCAAGGATTAAATCAAATATTTATTGATTTGAACAGTAACTATTAAATGAGCTCATCTCTTGCTACTCTCTTTATTCATCTTTCGATCTGTTGTACATCTTATTGTTATCTTTCATGCTTCTTCTAGGTTTTTTTTCTGTTCCTGTTGTCACACCTGTCTGTGGTTTCTGTTTTACTTTTAGGTTCTCTGCGTGGTGGCCTCACTGTTTGATCCCACCGTGGCTCTGTTGGAAGTTGGGGTCCCAGGGTCCTCCGTAAGCCTCCGGAGCTTCTGGGCCAGCTCTGGGGAACAGAGCTTGTCTGTGCTGCCCAGGTATTGCAGAAAACATTCATCCAGACTAGTAGTGATTAAAAACAGAAGGTAACAGTATACATTAGATTGTGATTGGCTCATGGCTGGTTTCTTCCACATTGCGGGTGGCACGTTCCTTCCAGCTGCATTCCCAGCTCTGCACGCGACCACTTCTTAAAATTGGCGTTGGGAGGGACACTACCCTTTACAGTTATAAAGAGGGTGGGTGGGAGCTTGCCTGGAAATGCACTCCCCTACCATGCCTTTCTCCACCATTTTTTTTTCCAATTCCAGCTTTATTATTCTTATTTTTGAGTCATCAATTATAGCACAGCTGTAATGGTGGAAAGTTGAGCGATGTGTTTCTGATGAAAGAATGTATGTTTTTCTTTATACAGTGCCCGTCCAATGCCGGAGTCTCCCTTAAACGCAGAGCTGCCCGGAAAGGATGCTTGCAAGCCTCGCAGAAGGACAGGTTAATAACGTTATATAAGGCAAAGTCACGCAATGCTGTTGTGGCTAACCTAAGAAAGATTTATCTGAATAATGTTGACTTAATGGTTGTTGGTTGCGATTATCGTTCATGATGTTATTGTCTGAGCTTGTGGTTTAAGGTCTTTTCTGAGTACGGTATGTCATTAGAAACTCGAACGTGGCACATTGCCTGGCCAAGCTTGTGGACATCTTTCTCTTGCAGAGTGCTGACACCATTTCGAGCCGCACCACCCTGTTGTGTCATATTCCAGGTGTTGGGTCGGATAGGTGGGGAAAAAAAAGTATTTAAAAATGGCGTTAATTTGGTGGGTCAGTAGGGGACTGAACACATGTTAAAGATATAGTACAGTGAAAGAGACCACATACCAAAAAAGACGAAAAGCTAAATCAAGGTTTCAATTAATAAATAGAGTGCTACCCCTGGTGACCTGATTAATCTCTGAAATGAACTTAATTTCTTTTCTAATCACCTGAAAAGCTTGAGTATTGGCTATTCATATTCATAAAGGTTGCTGTGCATCATCCCTAACCTTCTAAAACAATGATTCTTTAAGTGAGAGAATGGGAAAATCACGTTTTAAAGGATTTTCCAGAATCTTAGTCAGTTAGGTTTGTAGCTGGATTGCTGAGGCCTGTCTACTGAGCTCCAGCTGAGAACCCTGCTCCCAAGCTTCAGACCACTCTGTTCTTAACCTGGTCCTTAAACACAACAGGGTGTCTGATTTTTTTTTCCTGAACTTAACTCTGTTTCTTTTGGTTCCTCCCTTTAAATAATTATTTGGGTAATACACAGTTTATCATGGAACTTTAAGTGTCTGCTTGATGATACCTACAAGATTAATACTTGTAGTGCATCTGCCAAGAACACAATTTATGGTCCTTGAGGAAAAACAAACTGTACTCTAACAACATAGTAAATGCAAGAGGGAGGTTTGTACTCCAGTTAGATGGCGTTTAAAGATTCAGATGAATGGCTCCTTGGGTATAACCTGAGATGAAAAGATTCCCTCAATGACACTGGAAGACATCTCTGGGTTTCTAGCTCTTGTGTTCAACGGGGCCTTCTTTCATAGTGTCTGGTTGCTGGTGCAGTGTGAGAGAATGACCTTGGAACTGTGTAGCAGGCCTGTGTGTGAGTGGAATTTGTTCTGTCATTACACCCTGGCCGCCTCAGATGGCTTCGCAGGAGACAGTAGCTCAGACGGTGGTTAGCATGCGACTATTACAGCTACTTAGAGACATGCTGTTAATGCCAGGTGGGAAGGAGAGAGCTCGTGGGGGGGCCTGGATCCTTTAGGGAATGACAGCATCTGGTGCGTGACTTTAGCCTAATGCCAAGAACCACAAGTATCTACCTCTCAGATCCCTTTTCTCCCTTTTTGCTCTGTTCTCAGCATCTTCTATTTATGGATCATAATGAAAACAGGGCAGGTTATAAATGATTGGACCTGGATAGATTGCCCATTCAGTTTCTTTATACTCCGGTCAAAATGTAGGCCCAGTGTCTGCCATAGGTGTGTGTGTGTTATTACATTGTACATGTAAGTTATTACATTGTGGGGAGCATTTATCGATGGGTTTTATTTGCGGGGGGAGGTCATAATTCTTAAGGTTGTTTCATGACTGTTTATACCGTTGATTTTGTTGCATAACCACCCAGAGTGAAAGAGGGGTCAGCCAGTGGTAATCCTGAGAGGAAATGTAGCTTCTCAGGCTCAGTGCAGCACCGCTGGGCTCTGGGGAGAGCAGACAACCCCTGCTGTGAATTCGTCCCTTGCCAGCCGAAGCTGGATTGAAACAGTACCCTTCTCCTCAGTGAGAGCAATATATGGAGCCAGACTACAATTGAATAAAATGGTGAACTGTCCAAGTAGAATAGCTCCAGAACTCTGAAAGGTCCTGGAGGTTGGTTGTTTAACATGGTCCAGCCAGCTGTTTTGATTCTCTGCTGGCGTCCCGTGTCACTGATAAACACAATATTTATTTTAGAATGACTGGGGCCACTATTATAATTTGACTCAGGAAACCATAACCTTTTTCTAGCTCCTGTGAAAGGTCACATTATGCCAAACTAAGCACTTTGGCCCTCTGCTGCCCACCCCTGTGTCCAGATCTGTTTCTCTCCACATCAGTCTAAAAACAAGGAGCGGCTTAGTAGTCCTGCCTTTCTTTCCACCACTTTATTTACCTGTAAATAATAGTATGAAGAATTTTGCATGCTGCCTGTATATGTGTTAAGGGGGTAGATATGGTCCCAGCTTGGTGAGTTTTTGAGTTGGCCTTGTTGTGGGGCCAGACAGTTGTTTTTGACAGTAGCTTGGTTTGCCTACCTGACGCATCTCGAGGGTCCCAGCAAAACTGCTCTGTACCATCCTCCAATCCCATGTCCCATGGGTCCCCGAAAGCCAGGATTTCCACAAAATTTTCTACAGGCATAGTTGCAAGTTCTGAGCCACTACTCTTTTCCTAATTTCCATACTCTCGCTGTGCCTCAGAATCGCTCACACACAGGAAGACAGTTGTTTGCTCTAAGTCACATGAACCCTTGTGTCACATTATGTTAACTTCTATAAAAGCAAAGATTTTTTTTTCTTGGATCCTACCAGTGTTAATTTTGACAGCATATTTTGATTTAGTTTTAGACTTAGTTTTAATCATATTTGAGTCGTCTGATTTTTTTTTGTTTTGTTTTAGTCTTGTTTTAGTTGGTGAAAATTACAGGAATTTATCATCTAAAGTAGATTTAGTCGACTAAATCTACTCTGCATCCAGTCAATGAAACTAAAAGGTTTGCTCATAGTCTACACATGCATGTACACACACGCGTACGCAGATTATTCTACCTCTATCTGCTAGATTCCCGAAGGGCACATTTGTAAACTGTCATTATAGCAGGCCATTAGGTTTAAAGATGCAGTCTTTACGGACTTAGATTTAACTGTTGTACTGCAAACACTATAATTCTCTGCAATTATAAAATGGCTTTATATGAACTTTGTCATTAAATAAAGTATACATAAAATCTGAATTTAGTTTCAAACAAAATACTTGCATATTAACACAATAAGTGTCCTCTTGCAAAAAACGTTATCAAGTATCAGACTGTCATGCAATTAGGGACGAAGGATGCAGGAGCATGATATGGGGCAAACAAATGGGGTTTTATCCAACAGACCAAAAATAAAAAGTATCTTTTTTATTTAATTAAATTTGTATTTAATTTTTCACAGAAAAAAATGTCGTTGACAAGTAATTTTTTTGTCGTAGTTTATATCAACAAAATTAATAGTGGATCCTACCTAGTTGTTCATCCTGAAATAACAATCACAGTGCCATTTCAGTGCTGATGCAGGTTAAGTAAAAAAGCTTGAAATAAGAAATCTGATGTCCATGACGCATCTCTATTGTCACAGTTAGTGAAGTAATGAAATATTAACCTCTGCTCTCACATTTGTACTAATGAAATATTTTGAGGAATTTCAGTATGTATGAATTTCAGTTTTGTTCTTACTCTTGTGATATTTGTAATAATATTGGGGAAACACTGGTCCAGAATATTCCACTGTTTCCAGAAGTATGTAGATTGTGGTCCTTTATTGAATAAGCTGTTAGATGGATGGGTGGATTGTGCTGTTCAGCTTTGCTAGGCACAGCTTGTAGTGTTGGCCACTGGATTTTCTGATGTTGTTTCTCATGGTAACAATCGGACCTTCAGCATCTTATATTTAAACATATTATCTATTGACTATTTTTTATTAAAAGCTATGGACATTCAGTTGGCTATAATGGGATGAAGAAATACTTTTTGGGAAACCACACTCACTTTTTGAGGGATTAGGAAAAAGTGATCTCACTCTAGTAAGGATATGGTCGGACAAAGCCGAAATCCCTCGGAATATGCTGAGCCTCATGTACTGTATGTCCTTCTGCCACACAGACCATAGGCCTGACCTCAGCACCAAAGGTGTAGATCACTACCATCTTCACTAGACAAGCAAGCACACAATGGGTGTTCCATCTTCACTGGTGACCTCAAGAACTACAGTTACATGTTCAGCTCTGTTCTGGTTTCAAGTGGAGGTTTATGTTAAATAAGGAACAAAATAATACAAATTTAAATTGAGGGATTGATCACATTGCTCATTTACAAACACAAAAACTTACAGTGGAGCAGAAATTTTAGTTATTATTTGCTATCTCCTTCTACCATCACGTCCTTCTGTTCTTAAGGTCATCTTTACTATGGTGTATAACTGAATCCCCTTTGAGATTGTGTGACTGGTTCTATGTACTTTTTTTTTCTCCAGCTTTTTATTCAAGTACAATAATAGGAACAACAATGTAATAATATTTATACAAGTAACAATAACAGTTAGACTGATCTGCGCATGAACTTTAGAGATGCATTGTGTAGAGGAACATTTGATGTTCTCTCTCTCTCTCTCTGCTTCAGATTCCAGAGGTGGGGTGAAGGACCAGGCCCTGGTCTTCCACTCCCAGATAAAGTCATCAGGATATGGGATGGCTCCTCGGTGGGTTCTCGGCATGCATGCTTTTCATGGCCTTTTGCTCTCTATGCTCTCAAATGCTATGTGATGAGTTGAATTTCTGTGTGCCAATTAACTGAAAGGGATATTGTAGTGGTGTAAGGGTTCTGAAACTAAGATCATACTAACATTCACGATCTTGGAAGATGGAACCATGATATTAACCCCTCCAACTCTCCGCCGCTGTATTACTAATGTTACAGAACTCATTTGTCATTCCACAATTAAGACTGTAACATATGCAAATCACTGAATTATTCTATTTCAAGTTAGGACAAGCTGTACATTTTGTAAATTTTACACATTATGCCTATTTTATTGTCTTCCAACTGTGTGTCACATTACTATTTTGGTCCAATCAGGATTAAGTGATCATGCCTTATATAATCACCCCCCCCAAAAAGTATGAATCGACCCTTGGCTCAAAAATTGAGGCCTGAATCATTACTCCTCCAGGACATTGGTAACATGGGAAAAACAGGTAGCACAAGTCAAAGTGCCCATGCCAGACTGACCACTTCTTATCTAGATGTTTTAAACACAAGTAAGATATGCTATAATATCTAATAAGAGGTTTAAATATAGAATTGACCAGCAATTGTGTTGCCTTTCCTGTTGTTGTCAGCTACAGAGATCTTTTTTTGTGAAGGACTGAGGAAGTGCAATTTTGTTTTGCACATTTATTTTAAAAAATGAGAGAAGGTAACATTTTGCATCATAAGATCACTCAGTACTCTCAGTGCTGTTCTGCTTTGTTGAGTTTGGGAAAACAGATGAATAGCTGAAATCATTTCGCAAAAGAGATTTACATATTTCCCCAATGATTGCTTACATTTTTTGTGTGCGTGACCATGCAGTGTTACATAGATGGAAAACTGTCTTAAATTAGTGAAGGGTACCCCCTCTGAACCAGGCCTGCTCTTGTAGATCGTGAGCAGGAGGATCTCGTGGTATTACTCTGAAGTTTGTGTGCCTGAATATAGTGGACTTGTGTTTGGTTCTGACTAATGCCTACTTGGTGCATATCAGGTTGTCCTTAAGGGATTTTTTGGTTGGCTCTAGCAGATGACGCATGAGCATGCTGTATTGTAAAACAAAAGGTTAGCAGCAAGTACCAGTAGCCTAAGGATTTGTCCTGTAGGGAATCTCATACTTGCAATGTTTTAGGATGGTCATGTTCAGCCCCAAGACCAATGCACAGAAGAAGAGTCCTGGGCCTCAGAAGACCAGCCAAAGGAAGTATGGACCCTTCTGTGGAGTTCTGTCTGACCAGAAGATTGTTGCAGTCATGTTAATAATAATCAGTGGCTAACAGTGTTGTGCCCTTGTCTCAGTAGATGCCTTTTTGCTGAGTATCCAGTGGACACTGCTCCACCGAGCATATTGCACACTCACCTGAGTACAGGTGGGAGACCCACAGCCATCCACAGTCTTCAATATTCAGGTGTGTGAAACACGCACTCTTAGTGACCGTGGTATCCTCAGATTCACAAACACCCATTGCATCGTCCAAACCTGACTTTGCACAGTAGGCTGAAGTGGGTTCAGGAAGGCAACAGAGTTAACAAAGGGCATATTTTGCAGGTTTGTCAGCACCGTCAGCTGCCCCAAAACTCTCAAGAATAACTGTTTTGGTCTGGATTCATTTTGGAATTTATACTTGGATTTAACATGGTACTCCTTGTAAAGCAGCGTGGATTCTGTCTTGGTTGCTATGCAGCCACGTGCCCAGTTGGGCCTAACTTAAGCTAGCACTTGATGAATATACATGTCTGAAACTACAGCCAGAAGGAGGAGAATAGGTTTGAGTTGGTTACATTTTACAGACTATTCATGCTGTATATGTGAGTTTTTCATTTTAGCATGCTTGGTAAAAGATTGGTTTTATTGATCTAGAAACGGTTAATTTCTAACGAACAGGCAACTGTGTGGATGTTTTTGTCTCTTCCTTTCTTGTCCAGGAGATGGAAAGCAGATCCTGTGTGGTCTTGGAGATGGATCAGCGTTGGTGTACAAATCCTCTCTCACTGGCACCCCAGCTATCTGTTCAGGTAGTAAACAGACGTGATTAAACTTCACCCAGTCTTATTTGCTTATTTTCTGGGGGCTTCTTTTCTTTTTTCATGTAATCTCTGTGAACCTAAAAAGGTTTCCACAAAACAGCCCTGGATTATAATGAATTGTCGGGCTGGAAGGTCTTCGGTTTCTGCAGTAACAATATCAGAAGTGTTGTTTTTCCCTCTGTGGAAGACCGAGGGCAGTTTTAAGGTTCACGCATCGTCGGTGGTGTAGAAGGTCTGAACCACAACTTCTCCTTCAGGCTAAAACAGTAGGCCTTTCTGTTGAAGTACCATGTATTGTTCTTTTGGGTCTCCCATCTTGGTTTTTGAACATGCCATTTTTTAGCATAATAATACATTAAGTCTGTAGATTTAGCGTCTAGTTCACATGGAAACTGATCATTTGAACCCTAATATCTCCTCTGTTATGCTGCTAGACAATATGTTGTTCCATTCCATGGACTTTGGGGGGGGGGGTTATTAGATATGGTGTGCTTTATGTTTATTCAGATGTACAGTTTCTGATAAGGTTTTTCAGAAGGCTGATGTTCTGGCACCTTTTAAAGTTTAAACCCCTTTTTCCACATACTCAGTTATTATATTCATTGTATTGTTCCTGGGCACTCTCATTTGGAGGGAAATGTGCTGGTTGAAGACCTTGTCTGCAGTCAGAACACAGGATTCTTGTTTTCTTGCTTAGTGACTAGGTTTAAAAACACCACTTAAAAACAAACATTCAGCATGGTGAACATACGTGGTCAACCCAAACTCCAAATGCAAAATTAGCATTCAAATAAAGTAGCATACCTTATTCCATCTGTCACTGAGGCAACACCGCAGGAACCGCACCAAGGAACAGATTGCTATGTAATTGAGGTTCCCACTAGAGGGCAGTATTAGTGTGAGGAAGGCCCACAGGTCACACAGGCTTTTCCTCCTACCTCACTGTGGCTGACAAGGCCCAGTGGTTTGAGGTTTTTCTGAACAGTGTCTTACAGTTCACATAAAAATTTTGTTATCTCTCCGGTTCCATATAAGAGAGCTTCATAGACACCTCCAGTCATACTTCATTAGGTCTGGTTTAGATCAGTTGACCATGTGATGTCATCATCTAGACAGGACAAACGAATTGCTTCCTTTTCAGGTCTGAGAAACTGCACCATAACAATTGTCACTGTGACAACCGCAGAAACCAATGGAGAATAAAAAGTGGATGGTAGCTGTGTTTGTGATGTTTGTCCATCTTAGTGGTAATGAAGATTGTAGCTTTGTGACCAGGGTGTTGAGGGAAAGCACAGCTGTCTGAGCTGGAGTTAGTCACACAGCAAAGGTGAGGTTCATCACAAAGTCCGGCTGTCCTGGAACAGAGCAGCCTGCCTTTAAGCCCCACTTCCTCCTCTCTGGTGTCCTGTCTGCAGGCCATGCTGGGGCAGTGACCGTGGGATGGAGTCACAGCCGGAAGTGGTTCCTGACTGCGGCCGAGGACCACAGCCTCCGGATTTGGCCATTGGGGACAGGAGAACCTGCTCTCATCATGGTATGTTTGGGGACAGGGGAACCTGCTCTCGTCATGGTATGTTTGGGTAGGGGACCTCTGCCATATTATCACAGCCATGTCAAGAGAATAACACCAAAAAACGCATACAGCTGCCCCTCGGTATCTGTGGGGGATTGGATCCAGCACCCCTTCTGATACCATAATCCACAGATATGCCAGTCCATTATGTAAAATGGCGTAGTGTTTGCACATAAACTACACACATCCACTTGTACTGTATACTTTAGATCATCTCTAGATTACTTATACCTCTGACAATGCAAATGCTATGTGAATAGCTGTTATACTGTATTGTTTAGGGAATAATGACAAGCAAAAATAGCCTCTACATCATAGTACATATAGATAATATACTTATAAAAAGTTTCTCAATTTATGTGGAATCAGCGTATTGCTTGGCGCACTGCCAATTCAGGTTTTGCTTTTTGTAACTTTCTGGATTTTTTTTATATTGTCTATTTGTGGTTGGTTGAATCTGGAGATGAGGGACCCGTGAATATAGCGGGCTGATTGTATACTCAAATTATTATTAAACAATTATTATACAATAATATAAATAGACACTGAATATATATAGTATCTCACAAAAGTGAGTACACCCCTCACATTTTTGAAAATATTTTACTATATCTTTTCATGGGACAAAACTGGAGATATGACACTTTGATACAATGTAAAGAAGCCAGTGTACAGCTTGTATAACAGTGTAAATTTGCTGTCCCCTCAAAATAACTAAACACACTGCCATTGATGTCTAAACCGCTGGCAACAGAAGTGAGTACATTCCTAAGTGAAAATGTCCAAATTGTGCCCAATTAGCCATTTTCCCTCCCCGGTGTCATGTGACTTATTAGTATTACAAGGTCTCAGGTGTGAATGGGGAGCAGGTGTGTTAAACTTGGTATTATCGCTCTCACACTCTCTCATACTGGTCACTGGAAGTTCAACATGGCACCTCATGGGAAAGGAAAAGTTGCTCTACATAAAGATGGCCTAGGCTATAAGAAGATTGCGAACACCCTGAAACTGAGCTGCAGCACGGGGGCCAAGACCATACAGCGGTTTAAGAGGACAGGTTCCACTCAGAACCGGCCTCGCCATGGTCGACCAAAGAAGCTGCGTGCACGTGCTCAGTGTCATATCCAGAGGTTTTCTTTTGAAAACAGACATATGAGTGCTGCCAGACGTATGAGTGCTGCAGAGGTCGATGGGGTGGGAGGTCAGCCTGTCAGTGCTGCATCAAACTGGTCTGCATGGCTGTCGTCCCAGAAGGAAGCCTCTTCTAAAGATGATGCACAAGAAAGCCCGCAAACAGTGTGCTGAAGACAAGCAGACTAAGAACATGTATTACTGGAACCATGTCCTGTGGTCTGAGGAGACCAAGATAAACTCAATTGGTTCAGATGGTGTCAAGGATGTGTGGCGGCAACCAGGTGAGGAGTACAAAGAGAAATGTGTCTTGCCTACAGTCAAGCATGGTGGTGGGAGTGTCATGGTTTGGGGCTGCATGACTGCTGCCGGCACTGGGGAGCTACAGTGCATTGTGGGAACCTTGAATGGCAACATGTACTGTGACATACTGAAGCAGAACATGATCCCCTCCCTTCGGAAACTGGGCTATAGGGCAGTATCCCAACATGACAACGACCCCAAACAACTCCAAGACAACCACTGCCTTGTTAAAGAAACTGAGGGTAAAGGTGTTGGACTGGCCAAGCACGTATCCAGACCTAAACCCTATTGAGCATCTGTGGGGCATCCTCAAACGGAAGGTGACGGAGCGCAAGGTCTCTAACATCCACCAGCTGCGTGATGTCATCATGGGGGAGTGGAAGAGGATTCCAGTGGCAACCTGGCACAAGAGAGTTAAGGCAGTGCTGGAAAATAATGGAGGCCACACAAAATATTGACACTTTGGGCACAATTTGGACATTTTCGCTTAGCGGTGTACTCACTTCTGTTGCCAGCGGTTTAGACATCAATGGCAGTGTGTTTAGTTATTTTGAGGGGACAGCAAATTTACACTGTTATACAAGCTGTACACTGGCTTCTTTACATTGTATCAAAGTGTCATATCTCCAGTTTTGTCCCAAGAAAAGATATAATAAAATATTTACAAAAATGTGAGGGGTGTACTCACTTTTGTGAGATACTTATCATCCACATTATTTACAGTATTTATTTAGCCAGCATTTAATACAAACTGGAGTCATTTTAAATGACTGGAGTTCTGGGGTGAAGTGGGACTTTCAGCCCTGGGGAGGTGGATCCGCCATAGTGGCAACACAATAAAATAAGCTGATCATTTATTCTAGTTTCAGAAAACACACTAAACACAAGCCAAAGATTCATATTAGCAAACTGCTAAAACTGTTAATGGACACTTTCAGAAAGAGTATCCAACTGCATGCAATTACCAGGGGCGGATAACTGCTCTGGGGGTCCTAGGCTGACATGGGTAGGGGGGCCCCTAAGTGGGCCATTTGAGCTATGTTTTGGGGCTGAAGCAGAAAAGAGAGGGTATTTAAAAAAAACTATGGAACATCAATAATATGCTAATCAAAGCACAGGGTGCCAGCGGCAAAACTTACCAATGAAGGTAGGGGCAGGAGTGCTGTCAGCAAAATGTGCTGATTGGGAGAGGTGGGGATTGCGCCAGTAGATCCTTTGACGAAAACTAAGAAGTTTAACTGATCCTGGGATGGCCTATACCTTACTCTGCCCTGAGGCTAAGCTTATTCCTGAATTTTTCGCATATGTCATTTAATTGTGTTCTCTCCACTTCTGTTCACAATTTGTCAACCACTCTAGCGAGATAGTATCAAAGTTCTCTATGCACTGTTCTTGAGATAATCTGAAGGCCAGTTTGGAGGTCTGTAGCTATTGACACTGCATACAGTTGGAGACTTCTGCACACTGTGCGCCTCAGCATGTGTTGTCCCCGCTCTGTGATTTTACGTGGCCTACCACTTCGTGGCTGAGTTGCTGTTGTTCCCAATTGCTTCCACTTTGTTATAATACCACTAACAGTTGACTGTGGAACATATAGTAGTGAGGAAATTTCACAAATGGACTTATTGCACAGGTGGCATCCTATCACTGTACCGAGCTTGAATTCACTGAGCTCCTGAGAGTGACCCATTCTTTCACAAATGTTTGTAGAAACAGTCTGTATGTCTATGTGCTTGATTTTATGCACCTGTGGCTATGGAAGTGATTGGGACACCTGAATTCAATTATTTGGAGGGGTGTCCCAATACTTTTGGCAATATAACGTATTTCTGACATAGGCATCTATATGGAGCTGGTCCCCCTGTGCAACTATTATGGCTGCCCCTCTTCTTGGAAGGCGTTCCAGAAGATTTTGGAGTGTGTCTCATCCAACCGTTTCTTTATGGACCTTGCTTTGGCCAGTGAGGCACGGTCATGCTGCAAGCAAAAATGGCCTTCCCCAAACTGTTCACACAAAGTTGGAAGCATAGAATTGTTCAAAAAGTCTTGGTATCCTGAAGCATTAACTGTTCTCTCCACTGGAACAAAAGGGCCTAGCCCATCCCCTGAAAAACAACCCCATCCCTCCTCCACCAAACTTTACAGATGGCACAAAACAGTCAGGCAGGCAATGTTCTCCTGGCATCCACCAACCCCATACTCATCCATCAGGCTGCCAGAGAGAGAAGTGTGATTCATCACTCTACAGAACACATTTCCAGAGTGCAGTGGTGGCGCGCTCTACACCACTCCATCCAACGCTTGGCATTGTGCTTGGTGATGCGAGGCTTGCATGCAGCTGCTCAGCCATGGAAGCCCATTCCATGAAGCACCCGGTGCACAGTTTTTTTTGTGCTGGGGTTAATTTAAGAGGAGGTTTGGAACTCTGCAGTTCAATTAACTGAGCTCTTCAAAACGACCTATTCTTTCACTAATGTTTTTAAACCTGACTGCATGGCTAGGTGCTTGATTATATATACCTGTGGCAATGGGTCTGAATGATACACCTGAATTCAATGATTAAGAGGTGTGTCCCATTACTTGTCCATATAATGAATCGTATATCCATAAATGTAATTTCTGGAAATTCTATCTTAACGAAGCCTCTAGTTTTTCGGCGCCCCAGGTGGCTGTCTACCCTTGCCGTATGATAAGTCCTCCCCTGGAAGTTACACGATTTCTAAATCAACTGAAATTGTGCTTACTAAAATGATAATCAGTAGTGATATTGTGCTGCCTGAAAACTTGATAATACCAAACAAAGATTATGCCTACTTCAAATAAGAGTAGCCTCCTTAGCAAGTCACTGGTCTCTGTTACCTCTTTAAAGACCTCCAATGTCCAAAGACGTCCAAAGACGTCATTTTTTGTAGACGTGATTTTGCATCAATGTCAGCTTTGGAATGAGACATGTTTTTTTTGGTTAGGAACAGCATGTTAATAACACTACAAATCCAGGGCATTTTAGGCTATATGACATATTGTAGGGCCAATCACATGTGCTCGCCAGCTGGCTATTTTGCTCTCACCTACTGCTACTGAAGTCGTGACCCAAGGCAGTGTTGCATAGTTAGTAGACTACAACTTTACTTACCTGTTCTAAATATAGCTGAAATTTTCACACATTTCGCTGCGTCCTTCTTTGCCGCCGTTTTTCTTGCCTTATCCTTGCCTTCTCAGCATCACCGTTCTCTGTTCTTTTCAGCTTGCCGTCCGTCACAAAATGCAGTTTAATAAGAATATGGGGATCGATACTAAAATATCAAGTCTTTCCATATGAAATGTTTTCATTTTGAAAATCAGTTCTAGCGTAAAAGTATCCATTTTTGCCTGATAATTTAAATGTTCGTATTATTACAGGGAGCATGACATCAACTACTAGTGGGCGGGGCTGCCCATAAGGGGAAGAAAGGGTAAGGGGTCCAAACACTTGGTAAATCAATCTGCTAGCATCCCCCTGGCTTAGCAAAAATTGTTTGTGTAATTGTTAGGGTTAAGTCGGCACTGAATATCAGTATCGAGATTGGTACTGAGATCAATATCGGCGATATCAACTTTGGCTCAAATTGAAAAGAAAATCAGTGGTATTGCCCATCCGTACAGTTTAGTATCACGCAAAGCAGGTTTGTACCATTCAATCAATTTCTTTTTTACTTTAGGAAGGGGGCCGCCACCTTTGCTCAGCGATGGATACATATCCATGAAGCTGGGTCCTACCACTTGGGATGGGGCCATCTTTTCATTGATTTACTATATGTGTTTATTTCTGAGAATGAAAATTTAAAAGGGTGTGCAGCTGGACCAGCCTGGAAACGTTACCGGCCCACAGAGAAATACTGCGCTGCTCCCAATAGCCACTCCACTGTACTCTGTGTAAGTTTTAAATGGCAAAAGCAATTTTAAGCTGCAGAAAAACACGCAGGAATATTCAGAAAAGCAATACAAAGATGTCTCCTTATGGTAAGTTTTGTAAGATCTGTTTCTTTGTAGAAAGTCTTTTAAAAACACTCTTTCAGCCTGGTATTCAATGATGGAGACATCCCATAGTTACAGACCACAATGGCAGCAGCCTGTTAGTCTGTATGTTATCCAGTAGCTCAGACCAGGGGAGGTTTACCCCCTTCCTTGCTGGTTTTCAGTGAAGCCATTCTCTCCCTCTGGTTTTCCAGCCAAGGTGGATGACTGTCTTCTGCCAGCACTAACAACCATTGCTTTACATTGAAGTATCAGTTTTCGTATGAACGAGACTTCTGGGTTGTGGCAGTCCTTAAGGCAAAACAGAAAGGAGTAAAGGAAAAGAAAATACAGTTTCCTTATTTTAAACCAAGCTCCCTCACAGGCAATTTGAGAAATAGGCTCGCCGCGTGCCGCTCCAAACCAGCCTTCTGCAGGTCAGCTCACTGGCGCGTACATCTGATATGTCCTATTACGGCCGCGTGACTGTGCAACGCGCTGTGGCGCGAGAGCCTGGAGCTACCCCCTTCAGCTCCACAACCATGACCACCTAACCTGTAGCTTTTATAAGGCCGATGGCAATGATTAAAACCGTGCCAGAGTATTATCTTTCATGAGCCCTATTTTCCACATGGAAATTGTGGAATTAGCGTGCTAGCGTTTGCAAATTGGCCCTGCCCACATTCAGATGTCTATTCACAAATTAAGTCATCAAAGGTTATGTCATAGACAAAATATGGAAAGCTTTTCATCTTATATGTCCTTTTAGGAACTTTTGGAGAAACCAGTGATTACAGATTTGAAATGCTGGTTTCTAATATTAGGTGTTACAAACTACTTTTTCCCTCTGTCAGGAGACGTACCGAAAAACTGTTGATGCCTGTGCTACACATGTTCTTCACCACTGTTCTTCATGAGTCCAATGCCACCATTCATTTCTCATCATCTTTCAGGGCAGGGACAGATTTCCCAAGCCAGTCAGGTCTGCTCAGTTCTTCTACCTGGACAAGTTCCTCCTCCTGGCTTCAGGCCCCACCTTGCATCTATACCTTTATCACCTGGATGTAGCCCGTGATGACATCAGAAGGTACCTACCAGCTGTGATCTTTCTCTACTAAAGTCTCAAATACTTGTATTGTTTTTTAAATAATGTTCATGTGCCTTTTTTAGGTCTAATAATTATGCTCAAATGATCAAGTGAAAATGAATTTGCATAAAACTCCACAAGTGTTTTAAAGGGCTTGTTTAGTTAGAGATGGTTTCTTCTGTCTTATAAACTCAGTGAGAGGGTAAAAATATAATTCTGAATAATTTCCTGGTATAATATAAACTGCACTATGTGCAAATTCCTGGGGGGCAAATATGAATACTGCTGTGGTTATACAAGATGTTCCGCTCACCGCTCTGGTTTATGAATGGACAAACAAAGCGGCCGCTGTTTCCAGCTCGCAGTGTAAAAGTCCTTTTAGAAGACCACCATGGTGGAGAGGGCCACTGCTGGCTCGCCAGAGCTCACTATGTTTTCCTGAAAGGAAAAAAAGTAACAGGAGCAATGACATTCTGACGTCTTTCAACGACCCGCACCTTGATCACTAGTAGGTGAGGATCTTGACTGGAGCTTGGGTAACTGAAGCTGCAGGCTTAAGGTTGTCCCTTTGAGCAACTGCTTCCAGATGGACTCCAGTAATTGTGAAAACACCCCTCCCCCATTAGTCGTGAAGAGGCACAGCCATCAATTAATGGCATGGCTTTAGCCTGGAAAGTGAGCGGGCTACCATGGGGAAGTAGTTTAGTTGGTGATTTGTCTTCAGGAGGGGGGCATGCAGTCCAGTTCTTGTGATCAGGAAAACAGTCCCCCTGCCAGGTGTCGCAGGGGGTGAAGGATCAGCTGTACTGGATCCATTTTACATCAGCACTTACTTTCTGTTGTTTTGTGTGGTATTTTTTCTGTTTTCATTTGCATTTTGTAACCATTTTAATTCATATCTAGTCCTTATCCCTTTCTTCACTAACGCCAAACATTGTGCCCGAATCAGGTACCATAAAAGGAATCTGGTCAAATTGGCAGCAAAGCTTGAGATGAGCTCCGGGACTGACATAACCTGTGCTTCTGCTGTGAACGAGTTTTTCTCCTGTATCCTACTGCTGAATGTGGCCTCAATTTGCTCCACATGTCAAAAATCTTCTCTGGAAATGATTCCCTTTAGTTGTTACAGTAAAACTTACATTAAGCTGGAAGTTCTAAACTGCCCTCTACAAAAGTACTTCAACTGCTCCTGGTTAAGCTTCCCAAGATTCAATAGAATATCATGTAATATCTGTGACAAGACACTTGAATTGCTTGCTGTAATATATCTCAGGACCAAGGCCGGTTTCTCTTGTTTCTAAGCAGTTCAGCTTCTGCCATCTGGCTCTTGCTTTGTTTGAGTGCTGCATAGATGTTGTCTGGTCATAGTGCAAAAGCTAGTCACAGACATCTATAGACACTGCACTGTTAGTTTGACTACCAACAGAACCATTTCTGTGTCTGGCTTGAATGAGACCATGCCATCATTCTTATTTCAGATGTTTACTCTTCAGTACAGAAGAAGTCTCATCATGTTCATCTGGATATCTATCGTTAGAACTCAATAACAAGGCTATCTGTGCACCAGGCAAACTTGGCCGTCTGTGGAATGCCTTGTGAAGTGACAGCCACCACATTCTGCACTGCTAATGCTGGAATTATAATTATAAGGGTGATACAGGTCTGTTGTCTTTCACGTGCAACCCAGCAAAGTAGAAGATGACAGAGCTATCAGGTTATTATTATTATTTTTTTTTACTTGATGTGCTTTCCAAGATTCCTCCGTCACATCACACTAATACCTCTCACGTCTTTCTGCTGAATGAGAAGATCAGGTGTCTCCTTGGTGGGGTTGCTGCTGTTCCTCGCTGCAACTCATCCAGAGTGCTTAACTCTAAGTAATGTCTTCATTCTGACCCTAGTTTAAGATGCACAGCACATTTATTTTATAGTAAATCTTCTGGACCCTATCACTTCGTTTGGTGGGGCCTGTTCTCTCATGAGGTAAGAAACTTGGCTATGGCAGTTGTGGAAAATTGAAATTCGATATTTGCAAGTTTCCACTCCCCGCATCGGGTCACTGGTCTGCTTTGCTTGCGTGACTGGTATAATAGTCTCTGGTGCATTGCTGTGTTTGCGGTAAACACGTCTCTCACGTTGGAGCGTGTCAGTGAGTGGGTGGAAGTGTTTTGGGTTATGTTCAGCCTCATGCTAAGACATGACCTCTTCAATTTGCATATATTTATAAAGGCACGCATGAATCAGCTTCCATTTATGGTCAATATGGTCATGCTATGTCTGACTATTGACGTGATTGGTCATCCCTTTGATGGGTAAATGTGTACATACATGTATCTGGTCATGTAGTTCAAAGCAGTGTTATTGGTTTTAAATGGTAACTCTCTGGGGTTTCATATATCCAGAGCTAGGCTTTGCGAGGAATTTGCATGTTCTCCCCATGTTCTTTCTATGTTCTGTCCATGGTCTCCGTGGGTTTCCTCCAAGTGGTTTCCTCCTGTAGTCCAAAAGCATGTGCTTTGAATTTGTGACTCTAAAACATATGAGTGAGTTTTGTGTGTGTAATAGACTGGCTCCCATCTAGGGTACCCCCTGTCTCATGCCCTGGGATAGGCTTGAGATGGGTATATCATTGATGTAGAAGGTAGTAGGGTTCTGTAGCTTATAGTTTGCTTTGATGGATAAGCAAGAATTTTTACATTTTTTCTTGAATGGAGATTCTGTCACTCATTGACTTGGGGAATTAAAAAAACAAGTACATAAATTCAGTCAGTCACTGTAATTTATGATGACTACATGAATTAGTCTACTTGAATGTGCTGTTAACATCAGTCTCCAACCAGTCTAAAATCATTCCACAAGCATATGCCCCTAAATTTTGGGTCTTGGGACAAAAATATATATGGGTTTGGGGGGTGGGGGGAAAGGATGGACTTGGGGTGGTTGTTATGTTTAAATGACTGGAACCCAATACATTTTCCATCTCTGGAAATTTTAGCGTATCACCTTATGCCCGAAAATTGCCATTTCCACCACACACACGCTGGATCGATTTACATCCCTGTGCAATGCTAATGTTTCAAGCATGCCCCCTACCCCACTGAGTATTGCACATAAAAACACATATTCAGAAAGATCTCCAATGATACCATGGCAGATCCGCCAGCTTCAACTGAAGTGAAAATTGAACAATACCAGCTCCATGGAAGGGTCTAGCAACAATGAAGAACCTCAAATGGCACCGCAACTGCTGTGAGAAACCTGAAGCACGCCATTTATAATACAGCTATGATCAGCATTTTTAAGTGTCAGTGATATTTATAGTTTTAATAATAGTGGTGGTTGATATATGTTAGCAGCCTTTGTTTACCGTTGACATCGTAGCACAAAGGTGGTGAACCAGTTTTCCTTAGTCGATATTTCAGATGTAGTGCTGGTGGGAGGCTGCGACCGTTCCGTGGAGGTATTCGACTTGAACGTGGGCCGCCCCTCCGCCCACATACCTGGCCCCCACACCAGAGCCGTCCATCATGTAGCACAGAACAAGGTAAGGCTGCACCGAACTCACTCTTTCCTGCTCCTCTCATGCCAAACATTCCAAGATAAAGGGATGTAAGAAATGTTGCTTAGGAGACGGCCTTTTTGTTTGGGGGAACAAAGGCGATGCTGTTTGTTTAAAGATAATCCAAGGATGTGGGGCATGGTATTGGGGGCTTGAAGCTGGGAAGAAGAGGGGAGTCCAGTGTCGAAATCACTAATATATTTGTTCTTGTCAAACTAAAGATGAGAAATCAGCCTCAAAAAAGATGTAAAATACCAAGGTGAGGGGCAGCATGACGGTTCCATGGGCATCACTGTGGTCTCATACCTCTGGGGCTGTGGATTTCATTATCTGGCCTGATTGATTTAGTCTGAGTACACTGGTTTCCTATTGCAGTTCAAAGAAAGTATGTGGCCTTCCAGGATGTTCCGTGCTCTGTGCTTTCTGGAATAGACTCCAGCCTCACCACAGCCCTGCATCAAATAAGTGGTTTTGTAAAATTGTTTAGGAGTTTAGGTGTAGACAAGTATTCTAGTACCTTAACACCACCCAGTCCTGTCAGATGGTGCTCGTTGGGCTGGGAAAAATAGTCAGTCAGGAACTGCTTTATGGAAAACAATAGATTTGCAGGGTCTTCTGCCATTTATATCAGACTGGAAAGAAAAACAAGAATGTAAAGTACTTTTGTAATGGAGGTATCAGGGTTGAGGTCTGGGTTGGCCTGTAGCTCTGTGATGACGGATTTTGCTCAAAGCCTTGACACCTGTGCTTAAGCATATATCCACCAAATTTCCCTGATCGTGGCATCCTTCCAGAAAAGGTAAAATGATGCACATCCATTAAATCCAGTGGTGTCCTCAAAAGACTTAGCCGTCTCTTTTCATCTTTTAACTCAACATTTTATTTTGCTTTACTGATTGATTAAATTCAGTTTGGTATGCAAACAAAACATCTGAAAATATATTGTTACATCCATCTTCCAACCCTTTATCCTGGCTGCTGGAATCATATGCACTATTAGGAACAAGGAGAACATATACATATGCTATACACAAAGAGCAGAGGTGGGATTCGAACCCCCATTCTTGGAGATGTGAGGCTAGTGTGCCCCCATCTATCAGAAAAAGTTTAGTGAAAATGGACTTCTCGAAACACTGGAGCATAAGAACCCAGATACTGTGTGATACTCACCCTGTGCTCTAGCTGCTGCATCCAGTAAAGGGTAGATTTTACATTGCTCTAATTGGTTTATTAATACTAATTATTAACATTAATAGTCATGTGGGTTTTTTTTTTTTTTTGGGGTGGGGGGGTGACATTGTCAGTTTTTTTCAATTTGTGCATTTGCACATTGTTTGATGCTCCTTCGTATGTAACACAGGGCACTATGGAACAAAGGAAAATTAATCTCCTCTCAGTGTAAAAGACAAATTTCCTGTTCATGTTGTGGTTTCTCTGTAGCCTTTCAAGTCGAAAGCAGTTCTCTGCTTGCCCAGAAAGTCTCAGAGTTCCCCAAGATTGTGTCTGCAGTTTGAATCAATTTACCACTGGAAAATAGACAGGGTCCTCTGTATGGGGCCCGTTCTCCTGGGCCAGAACTTTTACAACTTAGTCCAAAGAAATCCTCTACGGGGAGATTCCAATCTGGGGTATCTTCTTGTTTTCCCTCCTTTACTGCTCTTTGTATACCCACCCCATAGATTATAATAAAGGGGGTCGAAAAGATGATGCTTCCTTTGTTTGTTTTCGGGAGGTATTTGGTGATTAAAGTAAATCCTTCGGTCTGTTGTGGGGCACACCCTTTTTTTCCACAGCCCATTACAGTAGTCCATCTCCTAAACAGATTATGCGGTCATTCTCCCAAAAGTATCAGAGGGGATTAGTGAAGATCTGACTGAAACAGGGACAGCAGCAGAAACCTGCCAACATCCAGCCTATTTTCTGAGTTCAGCTTCTCCACAATATCACGTCTTTCTACCCGGGAACATGTGGATGTGAGGAGGATCAGCAACAGAAGGGGGAGAGGGGGAGATAAAATGAGAATGAAAAATTAAAAACTAAAAGAAATGGACCAGAGCCCAAGTTCACATTTCCTGCTGGGAAATAATTTCCACTGAAAAGCTCAGCATCACATTTTCCACAATGTCACTACCTCACCCGTAGAGAGAAACCACTGGTGTGTTTCCCCATGTCTTTCTGCCCAGTGATAAGAGTAAACTCACATGGTGATACTTCATGGAAGATAAAGGAAAAACCCTAGACGCTTATGTCATGTCTTGCCTGATTTTTTTGGTTCAGATCATTTACATAGTTCTATCCATAGGCTTTATTTACAGTGAAAATTCAGTATATTTGGGGCTTGTCTACTGTGGACTATAGTCAGGACCGTCTCCCTGTCTGCTTTCTGCATAGTGTTTATAGTGTCTTGTAACAATGAGGACATGCCTGTAATATGGGCATAGTTCTTTCTCTCTGCCTCTTATCTGTGTGCCTCAAGCTACTATCTGGGCGGGGTTGTTATATTCACATCAAAGCGGAACAGGAAACTGATGGACATGCGATACGCCAGCCATCCTGCTTTAACCGGTGTGGGAGTGTAGGGCCAAACAAGAGAGGGAAATGCCAATCCATGGAGGTTTGCTTTAAAATGGAACCCAAGTGCATGTAACTCGCCGTACTTTTAAAGGGTCTGCAGTAGGGCTGCTCCATTTAAGGCAAAAATCATAATCACGATTATTTTGGTCAATATTGATATCATGATTTTTTAACAAAATTACTCATTGACTTTGGAAATATCATGCATTTATTGAACTTCTAAAAAGCAGTGGATTTCCCTGAACTTTAAAAGAAGTAAATAAGTCTGGGAAAGGGGTGCGCTGGATTGGGACAAAACGGGAGCATCATTGCAAAACAAAATGCGACACAATGATCGTTTAATATCAATTATTTTGTTTTCATAATTGTTGGAAGCCAAAATCATAATTTGAAATAAAAAATTGATTAATCGGCCAGCCCTAGTCTACAATATGACATCAGTTTATGATATAAATCATTCGCATGAATAGTATTATTACGTTTGTTATTTCCCCCTGAGTAGCTATTAATGTCACTTCTTGCACCTTGACTAATGCGCGTGAGACTGGAACATTCTGGAAGGCCACATAATTGCAGTCCTTCACTGCTGCATCTGGGATTCTGGCTGACTTGTTGCTTCTGCTGAACAAATATTACCATAAACAATGTGGGCCTAATTTTTGCTGTAGTCTTTATCTGCTGCTTAACGGGACTGGAATGGAAAGAGTCAACCCTTGTGGTGATTGTATATTTGTTTAATGGATGGATAGTTATTTAATGGACTGCACAATCTTGTAGGTTACACACACTATTTAAACCACCATAAAACTGTCGAATGAATTCAGCAGGTTTTACACTGGATTTATTATATGCCACACGCCTTGTGACTAAGAGTGTATGTGCTGTGACTAACATGTGGTTCAGTCACTTTCACAGCACTGAGAATGGATGTTGATATACCATTACCAGTTGGGAATACAGGAATGCTGAGCCATGAGGGGGGTTTATCCTTCTGCTTTCCCAATTTGCTGCATTTTAAATCTGCATTCATACTTAAAGCGTAGCTGACCGTGGTGTAGCTGGGTAAGCTGATTGTCAGAATGGCTGCAGGGATCACACACACAGGTCAGTGCTTATATCCGGGGGTCCAGGCTCCCCTGGAACGTTTATGACTGGCGACATGATCTGGTGCCCTAAGGGCGGTTAGTTTCTATCCAACTTTGAAATATTCACCACAATGCAGGCCATTGTGTCAGAGCTGGTCCTTGTGAGATTAGAAAATTGCATCATTACAAAATCCTCCTGAGGGCTCCTACAGGATTCCCAACAATCCTTGATGTGTGCTGATGTTTGTTGTGGTCTAGTTCTTGCATATTTAGACATATCTGAACCCTTAATGTCAAGAACCCAAGTACTACACTTCAAGTCATGTTAAACCAGACCTCTTAACTAAGCACTCGCTGTAACTTGCTTTGTTAATCTGAATTTGTGTTAGTGGATCAATACCTATAACTTAGGTTGGGAGTTGTGAGTGTTAGGTTTTATGATTAAGTTTAAGATTAAGATTAATACTTTGTTGATCCCAGGGGGAATTTCTGGTGCATACAGCAGCAGGAACATAGTGAACAGAAGAATATACATAGAGTGCAATCAGACAAGATGTAAAGACAGTAAACAAGTACATTTAGTGCAAAGAGATTTATAAAGTACACAGTACACAGATAAAATCCTCAAAACAGAATATTGTGATACTAGAAATAAATATTAAAAGATAAGAATAATAAATAATGTGTAATTAGAACACCAGATGCTTCCCGGTGTGTTTTGGCTGGGGGTGGGGCACATCAGGAAGAGGCGTTGTGGTGTCTGATGGCAGCAAGCAGGAACAACCCCCAGTAGCGTTTTTAGTATACCATGGTGGAATGAGCCGGCTGCTAAATGGGCTCCAGGATAGCGCCCCCTGAAGCAGATGGGCAGAATTGTTCTTAGTATTGCCCAATTTTGCATACATCCTATCTGCTGTTGCCTCCAGTGGGCTCAGGGTCAGTCCTGTGATGGAGCTGGCCTTCCTGATAAGTTTGTTCAGGCATTTGGCATCATGTGAACTGACAGCATTCCTCAGGAGGCTGCAGTGTGGAGAAGCACACTGGCCACTAGGGCCTGAGAAAACGTATACAGCAACTTGCTACACATTAAAATACCTGACCTTCCCCAGAAAGTAGAGTTTGCTCTGGCCCTAGTCCAGCACTGATGTATTGTCCACCCAGTCCAGTCTGCTGTTCTGGTGTACCTCTGTGTACTTGTAGCTCTGTACCACGTCCACTTCGTCCCCCTGGATGGTGAATGGTTTCAGGGGCTCCTTGTTATTCCGAAAGTCCACCACCAGCTCCTTTGTCTTGCTGATGCTGAGCTGCAGATTACGAGCTGCACCATAAGACCAAGTCCTCTACTAGTACTCATTTCTGTTGCTGATGTATCCTACAATGGAGGAGTCATCAGAGAACTTTTGTAGATAGCAAGTGCTCGTGTTGTACTGGAACTTCAATGTGTAGATGGTAAACAAGATGGAAGACAGGACAGTTCAGTGAGGTACCACAGTGTTGCTCACAGTTTTGAAAGCCATAGGCTTTGTCAGTAAAGACTGTGAATTTCACGATCTACCCAGAATCCCTGCTTCTTTTCTATCCTGACATAATGTGTGCTGCTATACAGGAAGGCCTCCCCACTTTTAAACTTTCCATCTTGCACAGAGCAGAGATCACCTGGAAATCCTCAAAGCCATGTACTACTCGGAAAACCAAATTAAAATAACCTTTCAGCTTCATTTGGTCCCAGTCTCCCAAGGAAACTCAAACAAATGACGCAGACATCACTGTACCATCAAAGAATTTATAATAAGCGAAGGTCATAAATTAAGACGCTTAGTGTCTGTGCAGGGTAAACAGAAGGGGGAAAAAATCTGTTTTATCAAATGTAGAAGTCCCCTAGTATACATCGTTTTGCATGGTTGCAGACAGATGGAAAAGAATGACAAATATGTTTCCACTCTGTACTTTGCCAGTTCTGGGGTCGTGCTTAATGCTGGAAAGTCTTTGTGCTTCAGGGTTACCTCAAATTTGCTTTCAATGTCCCTGAAATTTTAGGGAATCACACCACATCCCCCCACCAAGGGCTCAGAAGGAGGGCTGCGGACACTTTTATTTAATTCTGTTTTATTTAATTCTGCAAAATTGCATTAAATTCACTTTAGTACACTTAATTTGTACTCATTTTTTTGTTTCATTTTTATGACATTCAAATTCAAAATTTGCAGCTCACTGAAAGCTTTGTTCAAGGACTAAATTCAAACATAGCGATATTAGTTTATCTTCTCTCTTTGTTGTACATACAAACAGGCACAAATTCAGTTACATGCTATGTTTTTGAACAACATGGTGCACACACTGGAAGAGTAGAAATGGCTTTGAAATGTGATGGAGAGGGGCACGCCTCCTCCCGTCTATGACGTCATCAGCCCTCCCGCTAAGCTGGTCTTTTTGTGGGTGCAGTCTGGGCACGTCCCTTTGTGTGGTGCAGTCTGGGGATAAGCCCATTACTCACCTGTAAGTACGCACTTGTTGACAGCTAATTGATTAATGATGACCTCTTGTCATTGGCCCTGGTACGATCTCCCAAGGCAAATTGGTCTTAGGTGAGCGGCCAGACAAAGTGCGATTCAGAAAGACTGCTATGAAAAGAAACACTAAGAATCATATTACCACGCCTGGATCGGGGAGATCGGGGCCTCGCCTCGGAGTTAGGCCTCGGGGGGAGCTCGTGGGTAAGCGCCAAGTGGCTGAGCTTCTACCCATGGGGCCCTGCCGGGCATAGCTTCACATGCGTCCACCTTCCTGTGGGTCCATCACCTGCAGCAGAAGCCGTGGGGAATGGGTGCAGTGTACTGTAGATCGGGTGGCAGCAACCTTGGCGGACCAGCCTTCAGTGACCAAATCTGGCTATAGGCAAATGGAACGTTACCTCTCTGGTGTGAAAGGAGCCTGAGCTAGTGCAGGCGGTAGAGAGATACCGCCTAGATAGTTGGGCTCTCCTCAACGCACGGGCTCTGGAACCAAACTCCTGGAGATGGACTGGACTATATTCCACCCTGGATTTATCCATGGTGAGAGGCACCAGGCAAGTGAGGGTCTACTAATAGCCCCCCGGTTCAGTACCAGTACTGTATGTTTGAGTTTACCCCTGTGAACGAGAGAGTCGCCTTCCTTTGACTTTGTTTTGGGGGACAGGCTCTGACTGTTGTCTGTGTGTTAAACACCATTTCATTGTTGTTTTTGGAGGCATTGGATGGGGTGCTGGAAGGTGCCCCCTCTGGGAACTTTAACGCTCATGTGGGTAGCAACAGTGAAACCAGGGGGGTGTAATTGGGAGGAACGACCTGCCTGATCTGAACCTGAGCGGTGCTCTGTTATTGGATTTCTGTGGTAATCACAGTTTGTGTATAACGAACACCATGTTCGAGCATATGGGTGTTTGTGATTAACCTTAGGCCACAGTTCTATGATCAATTTTGTAATCATATTGTCGAATCTGTGGCCACATGTTCTAGACACTTGGGTGAGAGGAGCCAAGCTGTCAGTTGATCATCACCTGGTGGTGAGCTGGATCCAATGGCGAAGGACGATGACGGATAGACCTGGTAGACCCAAACATATACTGAGGGTGTGCTCAGAACATCTGGCAGAGGCCCCTGTCCAGGAGATCTGCAACTCATTCCTCCAGCAGAACTTCTCCTGCTTTCCTAGCCTGAATGGGTGATGTTCTGGATCTCCATTGCAGAAGTGGCTGTGTGGAGCTGTGGCCATAAGGTTGTTAGTGCCTGTCGTGGTGGCAATCCCCAAACCTGGTGGTGAACACCGGTGGTAAAGCTGGAAGACTCAGAGGAGGACTTACCCATCACAGGGGCTGCGATCACTGAAGTAGTCAAAACACTCTTTGGTGGTATGGCTCCGGGGGTGGATCAGATTCGTCCTGAGTTATAGAAAGTTCTTGATGTTGTTGGGCTGTCTTAGCTGACACTCCCCTTCAACATTGTGTGGAGCTTGGGGACAGTACCTTTGGTTTGGCAGACTGGGGTGGTGGTCCTCAGTCCGGATGGACCCCCCTCTCAAAACGATCACACTCTTCAGCCTCTCTGGGAAGGTTCATGTAGGATACTTGAGAGGAGGGTCCACACTTTGGTCGAACCTCAGACCCAGGAGGAATAATGGAGATTCTGTCCTGGTCATGGAAAAGACATACAAATGTGTCCCTTGGGGGTCCTATGGGGGGCTGCTTCAGAAGTATGGGGTACTGGGTCAACTGGTGTGGGCCATCAGGTTCTGGAGCAAGAGTTTAGTTTGCATCAGCAGTAGTAAATCAGACTCATTTGCCAGGGATGTCCTTTGTCACCGATTCTGTTCATAACATTTTAGACAGAATTTTTAGGCATAGCCAAGGGGCACCTCAGGATCGCTTTGCTATTTGCAAATGATGTGTTCCTGTTGATGTGTTCCTGTTCATTGGGCTGTGATCTGCAGCATGCACGGCAGTTTATAGCTGAGTGTCAGGCAGCTAGGATGAAGATCAGCACCCCCAAGTCTGAAGCCTTGGTTCTTGACCAGAAAAGGGTGGCTTGCCCTCTCCTGGTGAGGGATGAGTTACTGCCTCAAGCGGAGGAGATTAAGTATCTCAAAGTCTTGTTCAGGAGTCAGGGAAGAAGGGGATCAACCAGCAGATCAGTGCAGCATCAGCAGTAATGCAGAAACTGTACCATTCTGTTGTAGAAGAGAAAGCTGAGCCAGAAGGCAAAGCTTTCAATTTACCAGTTGATCTAATGATCTCACTAATAGTCATGAGCTTTAGGCATGGACCAAAAGAATGAGATTATGGATACAAGAGGCAGAAATGAGTTTCCTTTGCAGGGTGTCTGAGCCTTAGAGATAGAGTGAGGAGCATGAACATTCAAGAGGAGCTCAAAGTAGGACTGCTGCTCTTCTGCATTGAAAGAAGTCACTTGAGCTGGTTCAGGCATCTATGTAGGATGCTTTCTGGATGCCTCCCTAGGGAGGTGTCTCGGGCATGTCCAACCAAAATGGAACCCTGGGGCAGACCCAGAACAAATTGGAGAGATTATATCTCTTAGCTGGCCTGGGAACGCCGTGGTATTCCACCGGTAAAGGTGAAGGAGGTCGCTGGTGAAAGGGACGTCTGGGCATCCCTGCTTAGACTGCAGTCCTTGTGATCTGACCCTGCATAAGCAGCAGATGATATAGGATATTGATTTTTCTTAAGAAGGTGCTTTGGAGGTATGTTTTGGGTCCTTTTCTGCTGTTAAAAATGAAGCCTTTGATAAAATCCATGTTACAGCCTTTTAAACCTTGTGTGACATAGATCTCTGCTCCTTATTTTTCCACAAACTTTTTACAATCCTACCAAGCAAGGAATTAGTTTTAAGGCTGTATTTTTAAATATCGAAAGCTTGGAGGATTCTGGTTCATGAATAGGTTCGGTTTGGAGAGGTGGGTTTTAAGGATAGATGGCATCATGATGGTATGGTGCTTTAATAAATGGCACACATCTCTATCCGTAACGTTAGTTTGCTCCTGTGTGTTTTGCAGGGTTCGTCATTCTGTGCACAGGGGTTTGACTTCTACAACCTCTTCCTCACCAGTGCTGTGACGGATGGGATGAAGCTGTGGGATTTACGCATTCTCAGGTGGGTTAGCCCTGAAGCAAAGAGCTTGCAGCTCATGCCTTTATTTGAAAATATCTCTCATTCTGTATTAAAGCTTAGATCTGTTACTTTCTAAATTCCTGTTCCGGATATCGAGACTGACATTTTACTGCTAACGGTGGCTACACACTCTGGGGGACTCCTGTGGATTTCACTACTGACAAATAGTGCATTCAGATTCAACACACATGGTCTGTATGCTCAACTGCTGTCATTGTAGGCAAAATATTCATAAATGGGAAAGAATAAATTCACAGAGATGATGTTCACCTTCCATGCTTTTAGTTTCAATGTCAAACTTGCCATCAATAGGAAAGTAACATACTACAGAAAAAAAATTTATTGTCTGTTGGGCTATGGGTCTCATTTGGAGAACTTATGCAGACTTTATGAAATCTATCCATGTGCTGCTTCTATGTAAATGAAGCATACTGTCATATACTTTATTTACAGCTCGCATATTGTTGGTGGTTAAATATACCGAAACCAAATTAGTACATTTGCATGATCTAGTTTACAATCTGTGCACTTTCGCTTTCATTTCTGTGAGTGGTCATGGCCCATGACCTGCGGCCAGAAGGACAGGTGTGTACACGGTGTGGAGCTTGTCTCAGTTTTTCAGCATTTTTGTCATTTTCCAGGATTGTAAATCAGATTATGTGTTGAGTTTTGGTATAAATCCAATTTATGTTGAAAATGCATATCATAACAGTCACTGATGGTGTTGAGATGGAACAGAGACAGTATTCTGGAATGTTTTACAAGTCAGATCAAATGTTGCACATTTAACTTACTAATTTAACTTAACTTATTAAAGTTGAATAACTAAAAGTTTAAGTGATCCCAGTAATTCATCAAGACATCAATTTGTGAATTCCCAGTTAACAGACGTTCCAACATTTTTTTTGTTTGTTTTTAGATATCTGAACCATACATTAGTTTCACAGCTTGTTAGTGTGAATCCATTCACCCTTGAGCTAACAGTTACTTCTGGCATTAAACTGCTTGATGATTAAGTCCTAGGCAGGATTAGGGAATACACTGGAAATATGTTGAGTGGGTGTTGTATAAAGGGTATTGTATTAGAGTGTACCAATGAGATGTCACTTGAATCCTCTACAAATATAGCCAGTAAGACCAGATGGAGCATGCTGAAGTTTGCAGTCTTTTAGTCATGCCTTACCTGAAAGGGAAAGTGAAAACCTTTCATTGTATCATACTAAAATGTTGTCTCTAGGGTTCCAATGAAAAATGGACAGCTGCGTTTCACGTATGGTTGAGGAAAGGCTGGGAGGTCTTATCTTCTGGCAAGGATTGATTGAGTGAGTTTGACTCGGTTGGTCCGAATATGGTAGGACACCATTTTATATGCCAAGTCCAAGCCTGTCAGCTCTGTACAAGACATCAGCCTGCTGGACTGATCCAGGAACAGACCTTTCTTCTCCTCCCCCACCAGAGTCAAACTTCCCCAAGTTTTTACCACGTGAAACCAAAAATGGTCTTCACTCCACCCACATACTCCTATAAATGTGGCATTTATATCTCTCAACAGGGTATTATACTGCTAATTAAAATTGTAGGTGCTCTGCTGCGAAGACTTAATCCAGCCAGGAGTGTGACCTTAGCTTAACCGAATGTAAGGAATTCAGGCACAAACGTGTCTTCATTTTATCCTAGAGGTATGTTACCTATGAAATAAGTGACCATCACATGCTTCTTTCATGTTTATTTCATAAACCAAACATTTCAGGATTGCGTCTGTGATCTGTGCGGGTGTTTCTCTACGTCAGGCCCCTTTTAGCCTTTTCCCTTTGGCGGAAGAGCCTGAAGTATCCTTCTTTCGAAAGCCTGTGTGACTTCTCACACTTTCCGAACACAGCTGCAGCAGAGGGGTGCTGGCGGTAGCCACCTCCCTCACACAGAGAGAGCGCCGCCTCTGCGATCCCACGTGCTGAAGGACAGCCCAGGTTCTGGACTTGTGGAGGCAGAGGGGCTACTCTGCCAAGGTTCCCCCCTTCCTTAGGTCAGATTCCTCATGAGAATCGTAACATCTTTTTCCTGCAATGCAAAGGGCCACCTCGAAACTATCAAGGGCTATGAGCAAAAACTGTGGGAAATGCGTCCAAAGACCTTAGTAACTGAAACCTGATCCTGCATGCAAGCCAAACTGTTTCAAATTCATTAAGTTGCCTTTTTATGAGATCCCTGTGGAAGCTGAAATCTAATAATTATGACTTAAATATTGTATATATGTGTTGTAAAAGAGTGCAGGGAAAAATACATTAAATGCACAAGTTTGTACTTAAATTGTAGTAGTTGGCTAGTTCACAATGTGAGTGATGTCATGATAATGGCAGATGTTGGAATGTGGGGGATGTGTGCATTTTTGGGGGCAGTTGATATTTGTTTTATGCTGATATGGGATATTGACTGGAGTAAAATTTGGTCCGTGTAAAGGCCTTACAACTGGATGTTTATCTTCTGCTAAGGATTTAATGTGTTTAGTCAGCTCTGTCTGCCTAAATCCATTTTAATAAATGGCTAATTCATTTAGCATTACCAATCCAAGTTAATCCCCTTGAATGTGTTTAGTAAGCATATACACACGGTACTGGAAGTAAATCTTTAAAAGGGATTTTGGTGATTTTGATAAGATAAATGATAAAGACCTGGCCCTGTGCATAGCTGGCCTTGTATGGAAGAACAAGATTGCTGCAGTTCTTCAGCCACTGTGGATTTAAATTCTTTGTATGTGAGCTCTTGGCAAAGTGTGAAAATTTAGTATTTGGTGTCCTTCATTCTTTGAGGCTGAGAGGCTTTCCGGTCCTGTCGCCAAATTCCGTAGAGGTCTTCTCCTTCTGTAATAAATATTTGAGCCCTGTTTCCAGGTCGTGCGCTGGTCGGCTTTGGGTCCATCAGAGAGCAGCTCTGTTCCCCTGTTACAGCATGAGGGGGAGCGTGGATGTGGAGAGTCGATACAGGAATTACATGGAGGGCCCGAATACGAGCACCCTGAGTGAAGTACAGACCGCTCAGTATTTAATCACAAAGCACTCTTCCCTAATTTGTCGTACACTTGGCATACATTTTTCTTTTCTTTTAGAAATGAGGTTTGGATTTAGAACAATCCGTCACCCCTTGATTGCTTGCCACTTTTAATCGTTGTAGTCATATACATACCACAGAGGGGAAAAACAATTCATAGGGCAGCACGGTGTGCTAAAGAGAGGGAGATTTCCTAATAATTTCCCTTAAAGTGTGTGCTGTGCACATTGGTTATGTCGCAAAGAAGTTGTGCTCCAGCTGGTCCGGCCAGGCCCTGTGCTGCTGGCATATCAGACCATATGCTGCTCCATGGTCCAGGCAGATGTGGGGCACATATCTAGCCTGTTGTAGAAGAATATCAGGGCTGTTGGTACTAACCTGCTGCCTCTTGCCATGACTCCTGAACAACAGGACTGGGGAGCCCCAGGCTCTGATGGGGTGATTCTGGATCTCTCTGGTTCTGTCTGTTCCATGAAGTCCACTCTGGTCCACTTCTCTGCCCACACTCTTAAACCAGAATATAATTTAATTGAAACACTGCAATTGATTGTGGATAAAATGCTTTTGTTTGGGTAGAGTTTGTGTAATTTGTGTGCCGGTGCTCTTAGGTTAAAGACTCTGATTTGCATATTGTTTTTGGGTGGTGTCTGTGATTTTCCTATTTATTTGTTTATTATTTGTAAAATGTTATAGAACTTGTAGTACGTACTCAGGGAAAAAATAGGGAATTTTAAATAATTTAATTTGTACTTATTCCTAGTCACTGTGATATCTGGCACTAAAGGGAAGCACACAGGAAATTAAGGGGGGTTTACTAACTAATTAGTTTACTAACTAAATTTTAGCGGAACGTAGGTAGCTGGCAGGCAAGAAAGAGGGTGAGAGACAATAACCACTGTGTTCAACAAGGACGGAGCCATTAATTTTCTTTTGACTTTTAACATAATATCCCTCTTCTGTCTATTTGGGTCAATGTCTTTTTTAATGAAAGTGGAAAATGTAATTGTTTGGCAGCCTGGACAGCATTATTGAGGAAGTTAACTTATTGTGTTATTGTGCTGCCCCATAAATGCTGATGATAAATGGCTGGACAATATATTTCAATGATTTATATGAAGTGCTGCTGCATGGGTCTGCCCATTGCGGAGTGTCATGCATGGATTTCTGTTCTCATTAGATGCAAATCTTTGCTTTATGGCCAGTTTAAGACGGGTTAAGCACTTGGTGTAATATTCCCTGTGTGTCTTATAAAACCCTACTGAATAAACCATGGACATAGTTTGGGGGCCTCTGGTCTGATGGAAACTCGCCGGATTCGCTGCTTCAGCTTCCCTCATCTCTCGTTCTGATGTTCTATTTCCACCATGTATTTCGTCAGCAAACTTCAGCCTGCATCCAGCAGATTTCTGAGACACAGTACTTTTTTACCACATAAGAAATGGTTTCATAGACCCCGCTAATCTGCTGGAATGCCCTCCATTAAGTCTGCCCTCCAGTCCCTAATGATGACTCGTGTCACGGTGACTTAAGGTTAGCATGCGGAATGCAGATGCCGATTTCTGAGGTAAAAGTGCATGTCTGTCCGTGTCTCTCACTGCTTAGTTCAGCAATAATCCTTGTCAGTCTGGCATGAGACTCCTGTAGAAACACGTACTGCTTCATGGTGGTTTCTGTGATCAAGGCCAAGCCTCCTGTTTTGGAATTGCCACCCTGATGTAGTGCCACCTCCCTTTTGAAGCTTGATGCAGTAAACGGATTCACTAAGGATAAAGGAGCTCGCTTACATATCCTCAAAATTTAACTTGCAGTTTTTCAGGTCTTTTGTTATTTATATTTCATTTAAATACGTTTGGGAATAGTTAATTATCCATTTCATCAATAATTTTATCCAGTGGAGGGCTGCTAACCAAGTTGGAGTTGATTATTTTCGTATAACTGCATACCTCAAAGTGGTTTATCTCACTTATACCAAGGCTAATGAACAAAAATAATATTAGAATAAACTAGTCACAGAAGAAGAAAATTACTTCAGTTAGCATTGAATAATGTCCCAATATGCTCTTAAGAATGCAGTCCCTATTAGCATAAAACGTCTGGTCTGGCTACTCACTCGAAAGTCTGTTAAATTACCATCAAAACCATCAATACTCAGGTGCTTGTGTTTAAAAAACCAAGGTAAATTATGCAGATAAGAATAACTATGAGTAAAAATACAGTTTTTTGTATTAACATGCTTAAGAAAGCATTAAAATGCATTTATATAGAACTGTCATTCAGCTGCTGGAACTACTTGCATGGTCACAAGAAAATAATCAACACCCACGTGACATCTCTGGACCAATAAGAAAATAGTATTTATCAAAGTCGTGGTATAATGAATTATAAACACGTCACAGGTCATATAAATGCAATAAAAATAAAGGGCTGTGGCGATGGTGGTGCAGTGGTTAGCACTGTTGCCTCGAACCTCTGGGGCTGGGGTTTAGTTTTCGTCATGGCTCCATGTGTATGGAAATTGCATGTTCTTCCAGTTTCTCCCTACAGGCCAAAAACTTCATGAGATTAATTGGAGTTATCAAGTTGCCCATAGGTATGAGTGTGCCATACAGTGGGTTGGTACCCCATTCTGGGTTGTTCCGTGCCTTTTGCCCATAGCCTCTAAGATCCAGACCCACTGTGACCCTGAATAGGACAAGTGGTTATGGAAAAAAGGCTGAGTCCCATTTTGATCATGATCAATCCCGCAAATAACTGACAAAGCGATTTCATCCTCCATTGCTTAGGTGTGGCAGGAATAGTTTCATATGAAATTATGTGTGCAGTTTAACCTAGGAGCTTTTTGCATCTCCCACACTTATTTAACATAAAGGTCATGGTTCATGTTGTGTGGTGTGAAAGCGACAAATGAAGGTGGCCCAGAGTTACAAAAGTGCCTGGTTAAGACGGCCCAGGAACTCGGAACCAGGAACTAGGTTCCTGAACCTATATAGTGGTTGGAACAAGCAGGGGTAGTCCCTGGTACCTAGGTGCTGACTGCCGTGTCAGCCGATGTGGAGAGATAATGGGAAGTCGGGACAAAGGACTCTCTTCTGTTTGTTTGTGCACACTCTAAATATCACATCTTATTACAGATTTACTTAGATGAAAGGGGAAGTGATGGTGTGAGAGTGGCTTAATGTGGCATGGTGATGGTTCATTCTGCCACTCTGCTCGTGTTGTGCTCAAGTTATGGGTCACAACCTCCGACCGTTTTTGAAATCCCCCCCTAGCTCTGTTTCATGGCAATGCTTGGATGATATATGCATTACTGATTTAAACTTTAAAGAGATGCTCTGCATATCCAGAGATGGCTTTTAAAGCACCATTTCTCTGTTTTCCAAGCTCTTTCATTGTTTATTTTCCTTGTAGTCTCCACTATCCAAGAGAGACTGACAACTTGCAGTGCTCAAACCAACTATTGTATGCATTTATACTAAATCTTATTTGTACAGCTGGGGTTTTACTGGAGCAGTACTTACGCCCCCCATGGGATTTAAGCGTGTTGTACTGCTGTCTGGAGTCCACTGCTCCAGGCTCCACCGCATTTGCAGGCCACATATGCAAGTCTAACTGGTACAGTAGTCATGGAATGTAGAGTCTGACCTATATAATAACTGTAAACCATATTCCATGAGTTACAGATGCCTGTGTTTTATATCCACATATGCATGAGAGCATTATAAAGTGGCTTGGTCCAATAGCACTTCAAAAACACCCGATATAATTTATAGCCTACAAAACAGGATTGCTGTATTTCAGGCTGAATCTGGCAACACTGCATTTAAAATACAATAATGTAAGACCTTACTTTTGGAGGACAGAAGGCCATTCCTGTGAGCCACCATCACTTTTCTTCTTTGTTCTACAAATCTATTAATCTGTAGTTAAAGCATCCAATCAGTGCTCATGTCACACTAGGATTTGAGTTATTTACAAATTTTTGGTCATGTAACAGTAAATTCCAACATGTCCATGAGAATATTCAAGTTATTTTATCATGTAGAGTTCTGTGTGTCGTGTAGAGCAGTTTTGATGTCCGCTCTAATCCTTGAGGGCAGAATTATCTTCATCTGCTTTTCTGTCCCTAAGACCATGACCATTGCTGGTAATAATAATAGATAACACAACCTCAGAGACACTTCATTTAGCCTGAGAGAAATTGCTGTAAGATGGTGACGCCAAGTGCGCTGGAAACTTTGATGCATTCTGGCAAACTCTTTGAATACTGTTTTGAGCTATTTATCTATACAGTATATGACATTTTGTTTTTTCTGTAAAAATATTTAAGGTTCTGTTTCCTCCTCTCTGCTTCATCATCATATTACTCTGATTAGCCGTGACTGTACATATTCAACTGATTACCAAGGAAAAAAATAGCAGCCGAGCATTCTTGATGTACATGAAGAAAGAGAAAATGACTGATTTCTTAAATGAAATTGCAAGGCTGTGGTATTAGGTATTAAACCATTTCAGTTTTTAAGGTTATGAAGAGACGCTTCAAAATGTCTGACATTGATGCCTGATGATCCCATTCTTCTTGGTAATGGTTCATCAGCCCAAAATCATCCTGTTTTGATTGCGTTTATTCAGACCTACTGGGGAACAGCTAACGTTTTTTATGTTTGCTTAGTTCTGGGTACGCTGTCATGGGCAACATCCACATATACAGCAGAAATGGCCTGTGGTGGGGCAACTACGCACAGCAGCATCTGCAAGAATGAACTTGGGAGTCATGGCATGGGAGTGCATCATCCATGGCTGCATACTTCCTCTGTGGGTTTCCTGGGGCTCTTCTTCCATGAGCTGTCATTCTGCGTGAACGGCATGCAATTTACTGATGGGTATGCGCAGTCAGGCGCAGCTATATACTAATTCTTTTGGTAGCTGTAACTTTCTGCTTGTTTTATATTGTTTTATTTATCAATGAGCTCCAGATGTGATATCTTAAGCTACCAGTACCAAGTACGGGCCCTCTGTGACTTTAAAAGAACTCAGTGTAATTTTTCATGCAAGAGTGACTGAAGTTAGAGCCAAAATCAGGGACATTGCCCTCTGACAGGGATTTTTTTTTACTGACTTATTAGTAGTCCTTATAAATGTACTGTATCATTATAGTCATCCTTATTAATTTCTGGTCCTGTTTACTTGGAGCAAAATTGAGGCTTTTAGAGAGATGAAACAAATCAAATTAATGACAAATAATATATCAAACTGTTCTGGAAGAAATGATGCACTGATAAATGGAGTTGGATCTGTAGTTTGTTTCCTACACAGAACCTCCCCATCCTGCCAGAAGCATGAGCTCACACAAAATGTTCTGCTTGCCGTGCTCATGGGAACCACAGGCAAGATGGCTGGAGTTAAGGGCCAATCAGACACAGTTACAGCTTGACGCACACACACAAGTACTTTCAGAACCGTTATTGAGTCTTTGGCAATGCCTTCAGCGTTTTGCTGCTCCAACCTGTGGGTCTGGTACCAGTGCAGTTTCTCTCCTCCAGGATGTTGTGTATACCTTTTTTCTTTGACTGACAAGGGACTCGTTAGTCTGGTTGAAAAAGGATAAACCCATTTTGATCAATAATAAGCTGAGTGACATTGCTCTTCTCTCCCAAACATCCAGGTGTGTCCGTAAGTTTGAGGGTCATCAGAATCGATGCCATCCCTGCACCTCTGCCTTCTCGCCCTGTGGGCGCTACATCGCCACAGGCTCCGAAGACAACTCTGTGAGTGACTGACTGGCCCCCACACACACTTTTTAGTTTGCCTTTTTTCCGTATTTCTCTGCCTGCTTGTTTCGCCTTTGCTTAGCCAAAAATGTGGCTGGAGAATCACGTTAATCATGTATGGGGGATCTGCTCCTAAGCTTCTCCTACCAGTACATACCGGTCTGTTTGCAGGTCCAAGGGGCCTAAAAACGGATGCATGAGCAGCCATTTGATGTCAGTGATAGTTTGGGTCAAATGAGAGTACACGCACGTCTTTGCAGGTCGGATTTCTCCCGTCTGGTGGAGGAAAAACCAGAGGAATGTGGATTTTTTTCCACAGGTTCATGAATTACTCCGAAGCTTGTGTGAGAATCAGTTCAGTTCACTTTAGAGCATCTCTTACACACCTGTTATCTGACTGATGCCAATGGGACATACAAAGGACATGGAGATTTATGACAGGATACAGGATGTTCTTTTTCTGCATTCAGGTTGAGCAAAGTCATTGTGAGACCTTCCTTGCATTTGAGGGATTTTTTTTTTTAATTCCCATAATAAACTTTTTATAGGATCAATGGGCTGAATGATACATTTTCAATTAAATAAATGATGCTGGTAAGATGTACACTTGTTCACTCAGCATGAAACATTTTTACCTCACACGCGTTCCACTGCGCCCTCAGCCACGCTCGAGACTGATTAGGTGTGGAAGACTGTGAAGCACATTCTGCTGGAGCACCACATCCTGTCACGGATTCCCTCCAGAGAAAAAGCTAGACTCAGTCATCTTTTCTGAGGAAAAGTCAGCATTCGCTGGGCTGTCATGTTTGCCAAACTTAGCTGAAAATGCCTCCCGCCGTTCCCAGCACGTACACCGGCTCCCAGCCATCTGGCTTGAGCTTTCATTGTACCGTTCTTGAATTGAGAGCGCTATACGAGTGATGGTCTCTGTCCAGTCCTTTGCACAGACCTGATGATGGTGAGGTTATCTGGGTCGTCAGTCCCATTGTGGGTCCCATTTAAGGCTAGGACAGCTTCTACAGGGGTAAAGCTGCTCAATAGTGACTGGACTGGAAGCATCGCTAAAAGACTCAAACAGAAACACACCTCAAATCGTAACCACATGTCCCAAGTGGAGATGGGTGAAATGTAGCTGCAAAAAGGGCACAACATTCATACAGTGTCAAATCTGATTTTTCTACCCTGTCTTGTTATTCTCTTTGTTTTCTCCCAGCTGTCTCCCTTTCTCTGCGTGAATCGTGTCTCACTGGGCAGCTGCTTTGGGTTTAATTTTGAGCTTTTCAAAGGTGGGAACATAGTGCCAGAGCTTTTTAAACTCACCCTCCATGCTGGAGAATATTGTGGAATCTTTGTGCTTATTGCCCTGTCTTCTGTTGAAACAGAAGACAGGGCAACAGTTCGCGTTATAAATGTCTGACTTGCACCACCCTCCCCTCACTCCAAGCTGATGTGACCTACATCAAAATAGGGATTGTTCACGTCATCAGAGCTCATTCAAATTCCCCTCTAGGTCAAATAGTAATAGGCCTTTACACTTTGCCACAATGCTTCAGTGTTACACAGTGATCAGGAATAATTTGGAAAGTGCCTGCCTGGAGCCAAAACCAAAGTGTATATTTTCCTCCTAGTCTATTAGTCGCTAAGACCACTTAGTGCAATCGCTTTTCTGGGGGGTAGATGTGCCTTGCAGTGAGGATCTTCTCACCACACTGGAATTGCCGTAGGTCTTGGCAAGGGGATTGCACGGATTCTCAAATATTTAAACTCTCCAGGGGCATAAATCTCTGTTTTACAGATCAGATATACAGGAATGCTATAGCCTTCATGTAGGGTAGGAGCCATAAAAGCAGGACTTAAGCTCTTAGCATCTTAAGCTCAATCAAAACACTTGAATGTCCTGTTTCATTAGGGTTTATTTTTTATTTTTTAAACTGAACCAATTTGATCATTCACCATTATAAAATAGTAGTAGGTATATTCTCTTGGTATATAGCTTTTTAGTCTATGTATTTTAGTATTATGTTGCACTGGAGAAAAAGAACCAGATCAATAATTGTAATACAGGTTAAACTGCATACGGCCCTTCAAGCAGTCCTCCAATTTGCTGGGAGAAATCTGGGGGTTGGTGGCGGAATTGGCACTCCAGCCGCCGTAAAACCTTTACACAGCTCTGACAAAACAGACAAACGTTTCTGCTCTCTGCGGGACTAGCTCTGCTGCAGCCACCAATAGGAAGGCTGCATGCATGATGAAGGGGATGGGGGGGGGAAAGCCCTTGGGAGCCTCATCCACGGTAGAGACAAAACTGCTGGAGAGCCAATGGGGTCAGGCCTGCTGGGGATTGGGATTGGTGTGGTGCTGAGGCGTCACCCGCTGCACGGCAGCACTCGGATCCTAACCTGAGCCTGCCTATCCGGGTAGGCGCATAGTTAGGTATACCTATTTGTCAGGTTGCCCTGATGGCTCCCATACTCAGGGAGTAGCTGTTGCTGTGGCGGATTAGCTGCTCTTGATGGTGGTTGATGTTACTCCTTTCAACAAGCATATTATGCGGTTCAGGTTAAGGCACTCTCTGGATGTCTTGTCTGTTGTCTCAGTGTTTGCTCCAAATGTGGTGAGGGATGTCTTGAAGAGGGAGATATTTTATTCACAGTTTTGCTCGGTGGTTGATGGGTACCCATGTGGTGACATTTCTCTGGTCATGGATGATTTCAGTTCGACCACTAGTACTGACAAGGCTGGCTATAAGGATTGTGTTGGTCCCCACAGGGCTGCCAATCATGGTGAAAGTGGCTCCATGTTACTTGACTTTGCAAAAGGTCAGGGCCTGTGGGTCGCTGGATCCTGGTTCCAGCGCCCTGTGCTGTATCATTGGTACTCCAGTACTGGTGGTGCGGGGAAGGAGATTGATCACATCCTTGTGGGCAGATGCTGGAGGGTCCTACAGAACTGCAGTGTCTACAGGAGTGCCCAGTTTGTGAATACTGACCTCAGACTTGCTGAAGATTCAGCTTAGGTCCAGTAGGCTACTACCTACTAGGAGAATAAGGCAGGACCTGGCTAGACTCCGGGATCAAGCTGTTTCAAACTCCACGTAATTTGTGTGAGGAATTTGGAGACTTGGGTATGACTGCTGATTGTATTGAGATGTGGGAGAGACCCAGAAGGTTGCTGAAGGTTGTGTTGGTATTGCCGGTGTTTCATCTTGCAAGGCAACCTGAATATTATCAGGAGGAGTCACAGTGCATGGCTTGATTGCAACTCCAGTCTGTACTGGGAACTGAGAAGGACAGTAGCAAGGGCTCTGAGGGCAGAAAGGAGGTGATTGCTAGTGGAATATATGAGCAGGCGACACATAGCATCTATGGTTTAGTGATCCCCATCTTGCTTATAGATGAATTGAAGCATTAAGCACATCCGAATCTGTCCCTAGGAGAGTCGCAGTCAGGGCGGGTGATTGAACAGTCCTTATGGATGACATTTCAGTTGTGACTCACTGGACTGCTACTTTGAGCAGCTCATTCTCTGGAGAAGATGTTGGACATCTCTGGGTCCACAGTTCTTGAGGCTGATCCTCCAGTTAGGTGGTCAACTAGCTGAGGGTAGGGAAGGTTACAGGGATCTGTAGTATCTGGGATGAATTTCTTCAGGCTGGTGGTAAGGCTGTCCTCCTGGCATTTGCAAGCAACCTTTGCTTCTAATTGGGTGTCATCCCAACTGACCGGAAAATGGAACTTGTTCTTATCTGGAAAAGGAAGTGTGATTGCCTGGATTGTGGCACTACAGGGGGATAATATTGCTCTCAGTGCTGGGTATGGTCCTTGCTGGGGTCATCCTCAACAGGATCCGTGACCACTTGCTCACCTACCAGTGACCAGAGCAATCTGGTTTTGTGCCTAAGAAGTCTACTGTACCATCGACTGCATCCTGGCATTGAGGGTTCTCATCAAGCCCAAACATGAATATCAGCAGAGTTTCTTTGCAGCCTTTGTCGATTTTCATCAAGCATTCAAGTCAGTTGATTAAGGTACCTGTGGGACATCCTCAGACTTCATGGCATCCACCCCAAATTGCTGGACATCATGGCCAGTCTGTACACTGGTACTAAGTGGAGATAGGAGAAGCCCCCAGACCCTTCAAGATTTGAATGGAAGAATGGGTCAAAATCACATCTGAACAGTGCATGCGACTAGTTTCTCCATACAGGAGGCATCTTGAAGCTGTGATTGCCAACAAAGACTTTTCTACTAAGTATTAAATAAATTTCAGTAAGTGTGTTCAATACATATTCCCTGTGTCATTTCACTTTATTACACATAACTTAATTCATGGACTTACTTGTTTTGATTTCTTTGTATGTGTGGATTACTTGGGTTGTTACCGACATCTGGTGTAAATTTTATGTCAATAGCCCCATTAGAAATATATTTACTGAGAAAAATGTTGACACGTTCAGTACTTATTTTCCCCACTGTATCCAATGGGAAAAGTAGAGCTAGAGCCATGCGACTCCAAAACTTAGTATCTTACGCCAAACAAAATGAATTAAATAATAAAAACAATGATACCAGTGGCCAATGGTGTAATTATATGCATTTTAAATAAGAAATAATACTGCAACATTGAGAAATTATGTTATAAACATCTCCTATGGGTCTCCTATGAGAATTGCCTAGTAACAAGTTCAGCTGAACGTGCCGAACTCGCTAGCTTGTCAATTGCCGAGAGTCAGAAAAATACAGCAGATGGTTCATGAAATGTTATTTTGGCCATCATTAGTGAGGAGTATTGAGCCACAGCCACCATGCATCACTGTACACTGGACAAAATTGTCAGAGGTTGCAAATGCAGAAATTTCTGATGCCCAGGGAGACAGCAGAATTTGCCAATTGCCCCTTAGCAAATTCAATTTATTGAGTATTACCAACATTATCTATGCAATATTCCACTAGCAATAAAGGAAACAGGGACACTTACAGCATTTACTTGCCGATAGT